AATTTATTGTTAAATTCGGACATTTGTTTTTCAAATTTTGATTTTAATGAGTCTAGTTCTGCTTGGGTTTTTTCGTATTTATTTTTCCAAAACTCGATTTGGTCTCGGAAATGATTCTCGTTAGTTGTCACTGAGTCTCTTAAAGCAAACAACATTTCTTTTAAAATCGACCAGGAAAATTCTTTGGGAGTATCAATGTGACCGAAAAGGGATTCAAGGGTAACTTTAGAAGGTTTATGGGTGTTTTCTTCGCAGGGTTTCTGATTTTGAGTGTTAGGATCGTTATTACTAATTAAGGGTTCAGAGTTTAAGGGATCCTCTTTCTTCTTTGTTTGTCTCGTGTTCTTGGATCCTGGGGCTGAGGCACTACGGTTTCTTGAAGTAGAAGGAGTCCTCTTGTTTCTTCCTCTTCCTCTTGCGTTCTTGGGTGGGTTCTTTTTAATGTCAGCAATTGAACTTTTCGGTATGAGAAAGCTATCGTCGGAGTCGGAGTCTGATACTTTTCCAGAATTGATGTCAGCATCTTTTTGTTCACCGGTTGAAGATTTATCAGGGATGACGTTGTTATCGAGGGCTTGTTTCTTTTTGCCCGATTTATCGATGTCACTGATGGAGGAGTTCGGATCTTCATTTCTGCCTCTTTTTAAAGATGCTTCAAGATAGTCCATTTTTTCTTCTTTTTCATCGGTGTCAGTTGGCGGGTTACTCTGAGAGATAGTTGCGGATGATTCAGGGGTGGGAGTAGAAGTCCTTAGAGGAGATTCATTTCTCTTGGTTTTGATTTTAGACAAAGTCGTGGGAGCACTGAGTGAGAAATGTTTTTCTTTGATACAGTCAGTTTTGTGACAATCTGTTACTCCGTGCACAGAGCATTTGCATAGTTCACAGTGAACCCGATCGTGCTGTATGCAAGGTTTCATACTACAGGGAGGGAGGACGGCTAGTGGGCCGCGCGCCGCGCCGCCGTAACACGCAAGCCGATAAAGAGTAGAGTCTAATCACTGTAACGATCTAAAGCGTAGATTGTTGTCTGGCCGTAGTTGCCAATGTTTGTTCAATTTGCGCATGCGCGAAAAAAGAAAAATTGATGTGAGAGCAGCTATAATTGGCAACTTTTTGTTACACAATCACTTTAGGCCACACTCACATCACTAAGAACGAAGTTAAAAACTTAATCCCTGGGGATTTTAAGAGTTCAGACGAAGCACCGAAAGATGCAGCATGTGCTGCCGGTTTAAACGGTACCAAAACTGAGGCACAAAACAAAGTAAAAACAGGTTTTTGGGTTGGTTTTAGGGAGAGCTGAGCGAAACACGTCAGGACGAATCAAGAGCGCAGTTGCCAACCCATGTGAGGACTATGTCTATCAATAGCAACAAAAATCACAAAAATTGGCCCGGTAAATTTTTAGAACGAAAATGAGAAAAAATGACTTTTCACACTCTTTAAATGGGAGAATTCGTAACTTTATCATGTAATATTCAAAACCTGAGTCAGGTTTCCAAAATCTGAATAGAGCGGGCTCATCTAGAGACAATTACCTATCGATGGCCGTAAAAATCATGAAAATCGGCTTAGCAGTAGAATGAACTGTGACAAAAAATGATGACTTGGTGGGTCAAGCGGGCGGCCAGCGCCCAACGCGCATTGGCGCCTACAAACCTAAGTAGATACTTCAAGCATTGCGCAATGCTTGAAGTATCTGCAGTAATGGTATATCGTTTCGATTTTCTTACGCAAAAATTATAGAATGACTAATATGTATCATTTTCAATAATTCTGATGATGATTTATCGATAGCAAATCACGTTTCTATTAGCACGTCTTCATTTCTCCGCGTTTTCCACCTCTTTTCCTCTCTTGCTTCCTTTCATTCAACTTCATTCCTTTTTCATGCCAGCTTTTAAGAGACAAATCGATGGCTAAAGTGCGGAACTACGTATTCCTATTGCGTTATTTCAAACTTTTTTCTCCAGTTTTATATTTCGAAGAGAAACAAGCCAACGATATAGCTTGAAAGTTTTACAGAATATTCTGCCATTGGAAAGAGGAATTGACATTTTTACATAATACCCTGCTAATGGAGAGAAATAATCACCGAAGGTTCTCGGGAATTTCGTTGTCTATAGTTTTCTACAGAAATAATAAAGTATAACAGGAGGTCTGCAAGTTTACAAACGGAGATTCGTGGTTCAAACTTCGACCATCGAAATAGTAGACGCCACACCATATATACTTCGCCACTCATGGCCAACTGAAGTTCATCAATTTCTCAAATAAAATTCTACCTCTAGCTTTAACTCGCCATGACGTAAATGCCTCCGAATTATTGAATGATTTCTTTTTATGATTAATATCAAACCATAAGGTAGTCAGTCCAATGATTGAATTTTTGGCGCATTACTGGTAAGTTTTGAGGAATTTCGCGGGTATTTTTCAGGGTCGGAAAAAAAATAGAAGTCATCATTTTCCCCCCTTTCTTTTCTACAGCAGGTCTTCCACACCCCTCGCAAATCGAAGTACTAGAGAACCACCCGCTAAGAAAACCCGATCCGTATCTAGCCGACTTCCTTCGTTTAAAGCAGATCTATTGCAGCGTGTTTACGGAGATAGGCAACCGGAGAGTGCTACTGACGGATATCATTATCCGGCTTGTCATAGGTATGCGCTTAGGAATCCTACTTTTGGAAATAGGAATAAAATGTAACTTAAACATATTTCATTGGCCAAAGAAAAAAAAAAATTGATCGAAACCGCTTGCGATTTCTGCTGCAAGACACCAGAGACCAGAGCGTTTTCTGATGAAATTTCAAAAATCGACTTGCCAACAGAACTCAACAAAATTCGCTCTACGGATACATAAGTTTGCCTCCATGGGTTAAACACGGACTCTTTCGGTAAGAGGTCATACAATTTATAAAAAGTCGAAACGCGGCTGGCCAAAGGATTTAAAAGTGACCATATATTCCGAAAAATGACGGGGCAAGGAAAATTAATTAATCTGTGAATATAGTAAAATTTACCGTTTTTGAGAAATTGCTCTCAAGAACGAAGTGGCAATCAGCATTTATTTCAACGCGCAGTAGATCAAATTGCATATCGTTGAAATTAAGGCACTTCATGGAAGTTTAGTGGTCGGTAATCCTAAAGGTATATTTAAAAGGTATTTCTAAAGGGCGTATTGATGGACATCGGGCCGTTGTCTTTTATTTTATTTTATAAATTTATATTGTTATATCTGCAAGGGTAAAATTGTACTCGACATTAGTTTTTCCCCTCTAGCGAGAGTCTTTGCGTAATGCAGAGACATGCTGTCAGCTTGGCTGATCTGTATGATCTAATTATAACATGTTTTTCATTGATTTATTCACTGTATCAAATTTATTTTTTAATCGCATTTTTTTTTTTTTTTTTTTTTTTTTTTTTTTTTTGCACTTAAGGGCGTGTGTCCCGGGGTGACATATAGACATTATTTTGGCACTTGCGTGTAGATTTTTGAGATTCAGAATTTGTTTGTATCTTTAAAAAATGTAACAATTTTTGAAATTCCCCCAAGACATTCTAAGTTCTTCAAAAAATCTAAAAAGTAATTGATAATTTAACCAAAGTTATTCATTTTAATATGCTCTTCAGTCTGAGGGATGGTTAGTTTTCCATCTTTCACTTCACAGAGTAGTCGATTCACCACTCATTACACGCTTTGACCAACTAGTTTGACCACTAATTGGACGTGTTTCTGCCAAACGGAACTATGCACATTATGACTTGAGCCCTGTTATGCATATTATCTTATGGGTCTTAGAGCTCAGGCCCTAATGCACATAGCTTCGTTTGGCAGAAATACGTTCAATTAATCAAAAAATACTCCAACATTCTTCTACAACCTTTACAACCGTGCGCTAGGTTTTCGCTAGACATTTTTCCGGAAAAATGGGTGAACAAACTTTTCAATAAACACTCTAGCTACATACTGATAATCAAAGCTGGCCATTTTGTATATAAAAATCGTTTTTCCGATAAAATAATGTAAGGTGTGGAAAAAATGATGCTACGTTCCCACCAGCTTCAGATGTTGAGACTTGGTTGAATTGAGATTAAAATGCGTAAAAATAGTCTGCACTGGTAAAAATTTCGAGCGCATGTGTTTACTTCGATAAGTTTTCCGGAGGAACATTATCTGTGTTCCCGTTAGCCACGGAAGTGAACAGAACACACCATTGCATTCAAGTAACGCAATCGTATGTTTTTTTTCAGAATGTATTCGGGGTGAGCGGGGGGGGGGGCATCTTATCCCAGGGCTTATTGAAAATTCGAATGTAACGTTGCTTTCCGCTTACCCACCCTCTGATAGTTGGAAAACCATAAGCTTATGTTCCTTCGAACAAATAAAGTGTCACCCGAGAATTCCAGTCGGGTTTTTATTTTTTTTTATCATCACTCATTGAAATTAGTGTATAATTATTTTTTAAAAATAGTCACTTAACTTACAGTAAAAATGTTTAAGACTTCGTAGGATTGCCATCAGATGTGTTGTTAAAGTTTCTTCATGTACGATCCGGTCTACAGCGGGGTTTAGATGAAGGTTCAACATTTTAAATCGATAAACTTTCTCAAAAAGTCGCCCTTTAAGCATATTATGTTCAAATGACAGTGTAACGTCACGGACATATTGCCGAAAAAAATGATTTAACAGGACCAAACACCTACGAGAAAAGAATTTTAAGGATTTATTCTGATGATGTACATGGAACTTTTGATGTCTCTTCGCTATTGCCACTTTCTTCGTTATCTTCCTTCTGTTATTTTCCTTTAATTTCTACCTTATTTATTCTGCCGATGACACAGCACCACTTGCGGATGAGGGCAACTTTTCCATACTTCTGCTTCTACCTTTGTATATTTCCTTTTGTCTCTCTCTCTCCGCCCTCAACTCTCTCAGAGCTTTTAAATCGTATATTTTTAAATGCTTATTTTCATTTCCATTTGATCTTCATTTTCAGCATTGACGATGGATTCTACCCTAGAAATTTTACCCCTCAACCAAACAAGGACCAAGATATTGCTGATAAATGCATTAAAATCGACAACTGTGACAAAGAGAGGCACTCAAGGTATAGAACGTATGATGGGAAATGTAATAACCTTAATTTTCCCATGTGGGGAATGAAGGATTCTGGTCTCTTACGGCTACTCGCACCTCAATATGCGGACGGTGAGCAGTTGAGCACTCTCTCTTGCAGCTGAGAATTCTATAAAAAACCTCAAGGGTTGGATTTCAATTTTTCTTATGTCCTACTTATTTTATAGAAATTCGTCAAATTGATTGATCGATCGTATTAAAACAAATCTTACAAATACTACATCTGTAGCACACAGATATTTCCCATCGTAATTGGACATCTTTGAACTGTCATAAAGACAGATATGACAACGCGTCATCAAAATATCGTAACAAGTTGTGAAATGATGTAAATCGATGATAAGGCAACCATAGATAAATAGTTATGAATGGACCTGTTGCACTATTTTTTTATCTCTTAGAAGAATAGAAATAGGTACTTGCACATTTTAGTCCAAAATTAAAGTAATTTGTTTCGCTTTACACTGAAAAAAAATTCTCGGTGTTTTTACCAAGGTCCGTTGATACCTTTACCATTTCACTTTTTTTACCGATTATTGGTAATTTTACCAAGACAGACTGGTAAGCTTACCTAAAAACCGGTATTTTTACTGTTTTTTCCAGGTAAGAATACCACTTTTATTGGTAATCAATTCCCGGTAACTTTGCCATTTTATCTCGGTAATTCTACCACAATCGATAAAAAATATTGGCGTTTTTACCGGGGTCCAGTAAAATTACCGAGAAAGTCAATAATTTTACCGAGATTTCTCGGTATAATTACCAGTTCCATAAATGGTAATTTTATCAAGAAAAAACTGGGATCAAATAGAACCCTGAATTCTTGGTAATTTTACCCTTTTCTTAGTAAATACACCGAGATTTTTTTTTCGGTGTACTCAAAAATGACTAAACTCTTGTTTTTTAATCTTAACAGGGAAAAGAACACACAGGAGAGCGCAGGACGGAGGTGAACTGCCAAATGCAAGACTTTGCCGCACGCAAATCTTGAAAGATAAAATAATCTTGAACAAAAAAATTTCCTACCTCTTCGTAGTTTTTGCCCAGTGGATCTCTCACGACACGTGTATTACGAGTGAAGCATCCGGAAGTAAGCTTGAATTATTAGTATTTCATATTTTTAGCATTATTTGGAACTCAGAACATAGGTATTCTTTGTGTGAGATCCGTGCTTTTTGTAGAACCTAAACCCAAAGGCGAAGGTTTTTATTAGAGCCTTCATGACAATCGTTACACTGAAAAAAATAATATGCTGTTTTAGCATTTAGGATGTCAAAAATGTGTCTGGTGATCCCAAGATGCTGACTTCACTGCCCCCGCAGTTAATTTTACATCCTGTGAATGCAAATTCAACTGCGTGGGCAATCAGGCAGCATCTTAGGATCACCAGACACATTTTTGACATCCTAGGTGCTAGAACAGTATACCATTTTTTTCAGTGTACTCTTTAATTCAAATGGATGTTCATTACTTTTCCCAGCGAAGAAGGTACTAATACGTACAGCTTGTTAATCCTATAAAAATCATGTCAAAATAATTGAGCTGGATAAACTCGACAAACCACACGATGTAATTTTAGTCTGGTCCTACCGTGTCAAAAAAATAAGAAACAAAAATGAAAAATCAGCCGGCATGTTAACTTAAAAAAGAAAATCAGGCATAAAATAAGAGACTACACATTTTAGAGATTCTGCACTGATATCTATCTTACAGGGAAATGCCTTTTGGAAGCCAAAGCTCAGATTCACCTAATCGTCAGCTTCCGGCCAAAGTATCACACGCGCTATGCGACGTTTAAACATTCCCGCCGCCATTTAATTTTTTTACGGAGGAATTGTTGATTGGATCTGTTGGAAAATTTCACGGAATTTTCTTTGTGCTCCCGATAAAATTCAACGCAATTTTCAAACAGGTTCAACCAAAAATTTCTCAGTAAAGAAATAAAATGGCGGCGGACATTTTCAAACGTCGCATGGCGCTTACGATACTTTGGCCGGAAGATGACGTAATGATGACAGACAACTGAAACCTTTGGTTTAGCACACCTAACTTAATTTGCAAACACTCGTCCAGTAAAATCCTGACCGCGATATCCATCAGGCATTATTTGGCGAATTTTGAGCCCAACAAGTTTCTCAAACAGCGTTAGATTTGAACTTAACTGTTACCACACCCGATTACACTTGTGAGATTGCTAGTGCGGGGATTCTAAAGTATGTTGTCTCTGATAAAAAACGATGCTTATTTTGCTGGTGTGCGTCGGATGAGATGAAATAAAACTTACATAACTTGAGAACCGGAAAATCGGAAGGAGGACAGGAAAACTGCTGTCTGAACTTGAATTGAATACTTGTTCAAGCTCCGAAACAAAAACCGATAAAACGAACGAGACAATAAATGGAAACAGATGCACGCGAAAACGGATCAATGAATGGCCAACTGTAATCCCCGCTCACAAGGTCAGTCGGTCGAACGTCATTGCCCAAGTAGCAAAATATAATTTTTTCCTAGAAAAAAAAATATTAAGAAAACTTCTAGAAAATACCAAGAAAATGAGAGTTATCTAGAAAATAGAGAGAAAAAACATTGCGAGTCAAAAGTCTGACCAAAGAAAATAGATCTATTTCATAGGTCTACTTTCTGTCAACTTTCCATTTGGAAAAAAGATAGAAAATTTATTGAAAGTAGAATTATTTTTTAGCCAATTTCTTAATGTTTTCTTTTAAGGAAATTCAAGGAAAAAACGTATTTTCTTATGTCTATTTTCTAGATGTACTTTATATCTATTTTCTTTCAAGAAAATTGTACTATTTAGAAAGTCGACATTTTCTTGATGAGCGCCACCTAGAAAGTAGATGACAATGCTACTTGAGTGGTTATTTGAGCGGATTTTAGAAGAGGAACACCAAATTTAAACGACCTAGAGGGAACCAACTCCTTGTTTAAGGTAGAAAACTGCCACTTTAATACTTCTATGGTGTATCATCACAGGTTTTTGACGTGGTTGAACTGATGTGCGAGATATGACATCGCTTATGTCAAAAATCTGGACAGATTCCCACTTTCAAGCCAAGAAAAGGAGGATAACCTCTGCGCTTGGGCCTACAGAGTCAATCTCAATCAAAAAATTGCAAAATTCGAAGAAATGAAAGCAGGACTGTTCTCGGAGAAAAAAACTTTGCATTCGGTACAGTTGGATTACATTTTGCAGTAAGGAACCGCTATCTCTGGCTCTCACATAAAAGCGCCTCTTTGCATAGAGAAACCAAGGGCATGTAAGTTGCTTCTAAAATAAACCAGGAATAGTGGTTCCGTATTGCAAAACTCCTCAAACCTCCATGGCGAATAAACAAGGCATTTCTTTCGGGAACAACCCTGCTTTCATTTCTCCAAATGTTGCAATTTTTTGGTTAATATTGATTCTCTAGGCTGATGCGTAGGGGCCATAGTCCTTTTTTGGCTGAAAATTGGAAATCTGTCCAGATTTTTGATAAAGTCAATGTGACACTGCGCAAGTTCAGTCTTACTAAAAACCCGGGATGAATCACCATTAAAGTATTATATATAGTCGAAGTTCGCGACCTTTCACTAGGAGTAGATTCCTTAAATTCATTGGTCGTTTAAGTCCCTCCCCTAAAGTCTGCTCAAATGATCAATGACGTTTCGACCGATTAACCTGCGGTCTGATTTTTGAAATTGATAGACAAAGCAATAGACAAAGAAGACAAAAAGGATATGGATCCGTCCTATTGGTGGAAGCGGGTGGTTATGCAATGGATAAAGGACGTAGGTAATATGCTAACTAAAGGCAACTCACGAGAAACCCGATAGTTAGTCCATCATTTCCCCCCTTAGTCTATAAAAACCACCGTTTGCAACCAATAGGATCGCCCTATACTCCTTGTGTCTTTTCTTTTCTATAGCTTTGTCTATAAATTTCAATAATCGGCCCGCTGGTGAGCGAGGAATGGGGTTGCTCATTCTTTGATCAGTTTTCGCGTATTTTAGAGGCCCAGGACGAATGACCTTAAGGTGATTTGTCAAGCTCAAGTGACGTGACCGAATTGGCATGCGATATATCGCATCGATTAGGTCAAAAATCTAGGCAGATTTTGAATTTTTAGCAAAAAAAAGGACGATACCCCCCAGCACATGAGCCTAAAGGATCATTCTAAACCCAAAAATTGGCAAAATTTAGAAAAATGAAAAACAGATTAGTTTTAGGAAAAAACCTCGCATTCGATACAGAAATCAATAGCTGCGCGCAATTTTCACAAATTAGACGCAAGTAAATTTAAGTTTTTCTTTCAAAATGATGACTCAAGTGACGTTTATTTATTTTGAAACAACATGAATCATCCTGAGTTGCTGTTTTATTTATTTATTTATTTATTTATTTATATTTTTTAAATGACTTAAGAGGAGTCCAGTCTTAATTTTGAATTGAAAGTTTTTTTTTTCAATGCTATAAATGATCAGGCAATAGATGCAATGACCTCTGCCACAACATTATTTTTTTTCGTGCGAGTATATACTTTTTATCTCTCATCTTTGAACTACACCTCGTAAATGTGTGAAAACTGTTGTTGAATAGTTGTCAAACTTTTCAGATTTGGCAAATTGCTGTGATGGAAACGATTGGCCGAAAGAAATGCCCGCGAACTGTACCTCAACTAAAGTGCTACCTGATGATGAAGAGTATGGGCCGCAGGGCGTCAAATGCTTACCTAGGATACGATCCCAGACTATGCAGGATTTAGGCTGTGACTTGCCTTTTTTGCAGCAGGTTTGTATTTCGTGTAGTACTATTCTCACAGTATAGCTATAAAGAGTACCTGTGTGCTTGAGATAGTAGAATAGTGAGACACCCATACACATTCATATACTGTTAAGAAATTGTACACGGAAAGAAATTAAATGTCGATTTAGCATTTATACTGTTAAAAAGATGTCCGACAAGTTTCAAATGCTGATTTTACAATACAAAAATGCTAACATAACATTATAATTTGTACGTTTTGCAGTGGGCGTAGTTACGTTAGCGTTTGTTAAAATGTAAAATCAGCATTTGAAACTTGTCGGACATCTTTTTAACAGTATAAATGCAAAATTAACATTTAATTTCTTTCCGTGTACGGTAAAGTTGGTTAGTTAATTTATTTAAAGACATTCAGCATCTTAGGCTATCAATGTCTTTACAAAGAATTTGGAAGATGGGTGTATAGACAAAAAATTAGATTTTCAAATTAAGGGAGGCAAAGAGTTTCAGAAGTTTGGTAGTGACACTGGGTTCATCGCATGTTAGTGGGTGATGAAGGTAAGAATTATATAATTCATATAATTCCTCTTCGGCAAAGATTAAAAATACAATAGAGAAGCAATAAAAATATAAAAGAAATTGGGAAATCGTGAGAATCTTATCAAATCCATATTAAACTAAGGAACAATATTCTGCCATGCTAAAGAAAAACGCCGTATGAACCTTCAGGCGTTGCCAAATATCCTTTGATAAAACACGAATTTCGTAGTAAACATATGAATATTTTTCTTCCACTTTTTCATATAATTTTGTCCGCAATTTCACCTGAAGATCTGAAAATTTAAAGGACAGATGTTCATAACTTTCCTCAAAAATAAACATTTTATCGAAGGAAATTTGGCAACTCTCGAATATTCATACGGCGTTCTTCCTTAGCACGGCAGTATTACCTACCTGCAAACTAACAATTTTGTAGGACGAGGAGATAATTTCGCCATTTTTGTAATATTGAGGTTAGATTTGCAAGTTTTTCACACATCACAGCGTCATTGCAGCGCTCCTCTACATAATTGGAAAACTAAAACGACCATCAGCTTGCGTGTTTTATACTATAAAATATGGCAAATTCGCTAACTCATTTTTGACAAAATTGCTAAAATTTGCTAAAATTTCTTAAATTCATATAATGCTCCCATATCCCGGAACTAGTACCGGATTCCGGAACTTTTGAGATTTTTCTGACTTTTTTCCGGAACTTTTGAAATTCCCGAAATGTTCCGGATCTTTTGCCTTTTTTAGAACTTTTTTGGAACCTCTGAAAAAATCTAAAAAGAATCCCGGAGCTTTTGACGGTCATGGAGTGGGAGAAATTTGAACAAGAAAGTTTCGAATCCCGAACTTTTGAAGGACATGGGATGAGAGCACCGAAAAATTGTCGGTTGGGCGGTACTGTTCCTTAGCCCTCGATATTTTTTTAGTATTAACAATAATTATTATTTAATTAGTTAAATAATTTAATTATGCTGGGAAGCAGTGAGGGCTCATTCAATGTTATGAATATAATCTTGCAGCTAACATCACTATCACACTTCATGGATCACTCCGTGATGTACGGCTCGACAAAGAATGACTCCATGTTCCTCAGAGAAATGAAGGGTGGACGGCTGAGAGAGACGATAATCGACCATCAAAAGTTTCCACCCAATCTTAAAAATCCACACTCAGTGTGCGATCTTCACAAGGACGACCCGCATTATTGTTGCATTACTGGTACGTAAGCTCTTCTTGCTCAGAGGTGGATCTAGCAATTTGGCAACACCGAATTTCCTTCATTCAGACCTATGCTAAATGATCGATTCATGTCGGAGCACCTGGCCCCTCCGAGAATCGATACATTTCCATAGGTTTAAATTGAGGAAATCCGATGTTGCCAGATTGCTTTATCCACCAATGCTCTTGCTTTGATTTTTTTCTCATCTTTTATTCTTTGTTGCGACGCAGCGACTATGTCGAAGGGTGGACCTTTAAAATTGGCATGCTTTTTGATGAGCAGAGTGATGAGCAGAAAAACAAGTCTTCTAAAAAATTGACTTCGAATGGGGAAAACATGTTGAAATCCGTCCATTCACTCTAAAAAAGGCTTAAGTGCCAACTCCTTTTTTATTTTTTTTGATGTGGACTATTTCAAAATTAAATAGAACTTGATTTTAAATTTTCTTTCTCTTCGACATTGAAAATCTGCGAGCAAAATATATCAATGAAATGTCAATGAAAATGAAGCTATCCTATCGGTGGAAGTGGAAAGTTGCAATATGGACAAAAACGGTAACTTTTATTTCGTTGAGTTGCCAATGCTATGGGTTAAAATGAAGTTGTTAACTCAAAATAACATAAACATGAAGTATTTATTTAATATGTCGAAGCTTTTCGGCGTTAGTCATCGTCAGGACTTAACAAAGAACAACAATTCAAGACAATGCATGATTTACGTTGAGTAATATTAGTTCATACAAACGTATCTTGACAATGTTTGTGAAGCTTTATGTTGGAGGGTACTTTTGTATGAACTAATATTACTCAAATTAAGTCATGTATATTGTCTTAAATTGATTTTTTTGTTATGTCCTGACGATGACCAGGGTCGAAAGGCTTCGACACTTTAAATAAATACTTGATTTTTATGTTAATTTGAGTCAAAAACTTCATTTTAACCATAGGTATCACTAGTTACCCAACAAAACAAAAAGTTACATAAAGTGTAACTATCATAATGCTGTACATCAACATTTTCAAAAAAGAAAAAAGGAAAAAAGAAGTAATTATAACTGACTGTAGTTAACGGTGACCAACGAGGGACCCTGCATAATAGTTAGTCCATCATTTTCCCACTTGATGTAGGGGATCGTTCAATTTTCTCTTCGTTTCCTTTGTATATCACTTGGTCGATCTATTTCTATAAATATGTCCTTTTGGCCTCTAAGGTTTAAAAGGGGTCGTTTGTATATCTGGCGCTTGATTCTCTCTGAGAATGGACCACTAGACAAGGTACGAATTAAAGGATTCTGATACATGTTTCTTAACCAAAATTTCACGTAAAACTCGATTCGCACAACGAAAATTACCGAAACCAACTCCTAACGGAGATATTAACGTTTTTATTTCACATTGGTTACGAGGAATTTGCACTTCCCGCTGACAAGAAACTCAAAGCTCTACTTGAGTCAAATCGCGCACTACAACGGTTTCAGCAAGCTCCTCAATCGAGCAATGTTCATTTCCCATCATCATGTGTTGTTCAAACCATAAGAAATTTTCTATAGCTGAGCCAAACCGTCAAGATTGAGGTTTTCAGATTTTCATATCGCAGAGACTATCATGATAACGTTTAGCGCGCGATGAGAATCACGTAGAGCATTGAGTTTTCATGAGCGGGTGGTTTAAATTCATGCATCAAGAATCATTAAATATCTTTGTAAGGAGTCGATTTCGGTAATTTTTGTCGTGCGCATCGTATTTTACGTGAAATTTTGGTTATGAATGTATCAGAATGCTGAAATTCGTACCTCGTCTAGTGGTCCATGGCCGATTAATAAACCCTGTTGTATTCTCGTTTTTAAATGAAAGGTTCACATTTCAGGTGATTTCAGAACGAACGAAAATCCACCGTTCACGGCTTTAGCAACGATGTGGTGGAGATTTCACAATGACTGCGCCGACATCTTATCTAAAATCAACCCTCACTGGGATGATGATACGACGTACGAAGAGTGTAGGCGTATAACAATCGCTTCCTATCATTTCATCACTCGGAAGGAATTCTTACATCTCCTAGTGGGTTAGTATTTTCTTGAAAGGTGATTCCAAAAATGATGTAATTCCTCAAAGACAATTTTCCACCCCTTCCTTTCTTAGATAGTAACCTATTTCGCTATATGACTATGAATAGTCTCTAGCCCAGTGGCGTGGGGTGAATAATCGATTATCGATAACTCGCCATTTGAAACTATGGTAAATAATCGATTACTAAGGTGTTCGCTGCGAACACCCTGATAATCGATCTTTTTTCATAGGTTTAAATGCCATAACAATCGATATATCGCAATTCACGCCACGCCACTGCTCTAGCCGTCAGTGATACGCAATCGGAGGCGGATCCAAGCAATTTGACAACACCGGATTTCCTCCATTTAAACCTATGTTTAATAATCGATTATGGTCGGAGCACCTGACCCCTCCAAGAATCGATAAATTTCCTTAGGTTTAAACGGAGAAAAACAATGTTGCCAGTTTGCTGGATCTGCAATCATGTACAAATCGCGACGGCAAACAGATAATCCGCATATCTCGCTTTCTGGCACTGCGAAATGAACCACTCGACAAGGTACGAATTTCAGCATTCTGATACATGTTTCTTAACCTTTCGTCGCCACATTATTTTTAGTCCTATTTTCCTTTTTTTGTTTTTACCGGAAAGAAAAACCACGGGCCCTGATTCTAAAAAGTAGCTATCAGGATAGTTGTTTTGGTTTTTAATGGGGAAAATTAGAAGGGAGTCATTAATAATAACGCGCCGTCATAATGTCGCAGCAATTTTAGCGTTCGTTCCGCCAGCGAGGGTCGGCAGGGCGGTGAAGACATCTTCGCAGTTTGACGCGCCTTCAATCCGGCGGAGCTGCAACATGCTTACACCCGTGGTCAAATAGTTGTATGTCACGCCTGCCGTAAACGAACTAAAATATCCATGCTTCCTCGCGTAAAAGAGCTTATTTACCTCGAGTGCAACGTTGCAAACCACGGTTAATGCTTCAATTTCAATCAATATTTTTCAAAAGATACGCACAGATTTTCTTTCAAAATTTAAAAAAATGTTACGGACGATTTTAATCGAAATCACAGGAAATTTGGTCGCGACATTTTATTTGGTCCTAGTTTCCTTTTTTGTTTTTACCGAAAAAAAACCACGGTCCCTGATTCTAAATCGTAGCTATCAGGATAGTTATTTTAGTTTTTAATGGGGAAAATTAGCAGGGAGTCATAAAAAATCAAAATTAACTCCCCCGCGTGCAGATTCCAGAATCGGGAATAAATGGTGGTCTGGTTTGTCATTTATTATTAAAAAAAACCATGGTCCCTGATTCAAAATCGTAGGTATTAGGATTGTTTTTTTTTTGTTTGTTACTGTGAAAATTATAAGGGAGTCATAAATAATGACGCATCTTCCAAGTGTCGCAGCGATTTTAGCGCTCGTCCTGCCAGCGAGGATCGGCAGGGCGGTGAAGACATCTTCGCAGTTTGATGCGCCTTCAATCCGGCGGAGCTGCACTATGCTTACACCCGTGGTCAAATAGTTGTATGTCACGCCTGCCGTAAACGAACTCAAATATCAATGCTTCCTCGCGAAAAGGAGCTTATTTACCTTGATCGCAACGTTGCAAACCACAGTTAATGTTTCAATTTCAATCAATATATTTTAAAAGATACGCACGGATTTTCTTTAAACATGTACAATAATTTTACGAACGATTTTAATTGTGTTAACACGGTGCCTGATTCTAAATCGTAGCTATCAGGGTAGTTATTTTCGTTTTTTAGAGTGAAAATTAGAAGCGAGTCATAAATAATGACGCATCGTTTAAGTGTCGCAGCAATTTTAGCGTTCGTCCCGCCAGCGAGGATCGGCAGAACTTACGTAGGACCTTGTAGTTAGTCCATCATTTTCCTCCTTAGTCTGTAGCAGTCATCCGTTTCAACCAATGGGATCGCTTCATTTTCCCCATGTCTCGTTATCTATCGCTTTGTCTACCAATTTCAATAATCAGTCTGCAGGTAGAGCTATCCAATTACCTTACGGTTCAGGTATGAAAGCCGCTGATTCAAAGTTTCTGGTAATAAAGACAAACTGAAGCGGGCTGATTATTAAAATTGATAAACAAAGCTATAAAAAAAGAAGACAACGGGAAAATGAGGCGTTTATTATGTATGAGTGAAAGCGGATGGTTACAATGGACAAATGAAGTGAGTAATAGACTAATCAATGGCAATTCACGAGGGATCTTACAGTCAGTCCATTATTTTCTCCCGCATGGTCTACAACAATCACCCAAATCAACCAATGGGATCGCTCTTTTTTCCCTATTTCTTCTTTGTCTATAGCTTTGTCTATCGATTTCAATAATCAGCCCGCTGATCTGCGAAGTTACTTGTCTATATTACCAATGCAACTTGTCCAGGTAGCTTTGCTACTCGCATAGATTCACGCATGTCCACCTATGCGTGTGGTAGAATTAGTGTCATTATGTACATCTCTGGAGACTTAAACGCCGGGAGTAAGAATGTAAGCAACGATTTCAAAATTGCGATGATTACTTCAGACTAAAATTGATAACTTTAAGCCCAAAAATGTGTGGCGATTTTTGGAAATTGTTAAGAATATACAGTTCATAGTGACGTTTCATTGAAATATTTCATAGAGAATGAAATATTTTTACTTGTTGACAGCCACTCAAAAGTTCAATTGTTCCCCGAGATTTTTGATGACGATTCCTTTGTAAGACAGATACCTACTAATTTTTGATAATTTTGAAGGTGCCAAGTTAGCACTCTAAGCCACTTCCGTCATCTTTAAGTTTTGAAATATTAAAACTTAATGAAAATTCGACTCCTAAGTGAAAAACATCCACTGCCATCAAGTCGCAAAAATGAATCAAACAGAATCCGAGATAGCATTTAAGGCCGCATCCAGTATATTATATTTTTTAATAATGAAAATTTGAGTTGGAATTCAAGGTTTCCGTAAAAAAATGCCAACTGGACCGAGTTTCAAGAAACGTTCTGGAGTGTATTGACGGCGACAATCGTGATCTTCTGCCATCAAGTCGAGGCGATACTCTATGCGACTCCAGTTCGATCAATTTTTTTGAAACTCAGTACCACGTAGTATTTTTTGACGGATAACCTGAATTTTAACTCAAATTTTCATAATTCAAAAATTCAAGATAGTGGATTTGGTCTAGGGTGCTATCTCGGCACCTGTTTGATTTCTTTTTTGTGAGACTTGGTGGCAATATATGTTTTTCACATGAGGTCGAATTTTCATTCAAAATTTTAAAATTTAAAAATCCAAGGTGACGTATTTGGCCGAGAATGCTATCTTGGTGCCTTCGAAATTATCCGACTTTGCAATAGAGGTATCTATTCTTTTTAAGTTCAGTTTCAAATCGTTGTGCTCTCAGCTTCCTTAAACCTCGATATCGACTCGCTCTTCATCCGTTATGAAATGAATCTGTTTGTTCTGTTTGTTTGTTTGTTTGTTTGTTTGTTTGTTTTTTTTTTTAAATTATTCATGTATTTATTTTTTATTCGATTTCCAACAGGAGTCGCATATCGCACGATCCATAGGACCCTACGGATGCCAGTGAATTTACATACGTTAGTGCGCCTTCAATTCCGTCTGATACTGGTGGTACTTTTGAATACTTCCGAGGTGGTATAGTTGCTCAGAGCGCCTTCAAGAGTATCGCCTCGACTTGATGGCGGAAGATCACGATTGCCGCTGATGTTACACTCTACCGCGTGCACAGTTACATATTTTCTCATCACCAAGAGTGAGATAAAAAACGGCCTTACCTCAATTTAAGACGTTGCAACTTTTTCACTGTATATTTTGAATGAGTAAACGAATATGATTACTTTAAAATCTGCCGTGATTTTTCCGAGATGTGACAAAATACATTATTTGAATGTGCTGCTATCGAGCTGATAATAACAGTGATTGTCACTTAGTACGTTACGGTGCCTTATTACCTCTTCGGGCCAATTTACGTCCAGAGTTATAACATTTCGGGTCTGTTTTTGTTTGTTCGAGGATTCCTACATACCACTTCTTATTCTCCCGTTTAATTTAAGCATAAAGTTTAGACATTAGACTGATGAAACATTCAAATTCAACAGTCATTGTTATTATCAGCTCGCTAGCAGCACATTCAAATAATGCTTTTTGTCATATCTCGGAAAAATTACGGCAGATTTTAAGTGTTCGTGTTCTTCTACCCGTTCAAAATAGGCAGTGAAAAAGTTGCAAATTGTGGTATGGATGTATTTCATCTCTCCGTCAATGATGAGAAAATGTGTACATCCACACGTTCTGGGGTGTAATGTCGGCGGCAGTCGTGGTCTTCTGCCATCAAGTCGAGGCGATACGCTTGAAGGCGCTCTGAGCAACTATTCCACCTCGGAAGTATTGAACGGTATCAGACGAATTTGAAGGCGCACTAACGAAGGCAAATTGACTAGTAGCGTTTATCGTACAATCTGAGAGTCTGCGTTCTGCGATAATTAGAAGAGAGTCATAAATAATGACGCATCGTTTAAGTGTCGCAGCAATTTTAGCGTTCGTCCCGCCAGCGAGGGTCGTCAGGGCGGTGAAGACATCTTCGCAGTTTGACGCGCCTTCAATCCGGCGGAGCTGCAACATGCTTACACCCGTGGTCAAATAGTTGTATGTCACGCCTGCCGTAAACGAACTCAAATATCGATGCTTCCTCGCAAAAAGGAGCTTATTTACCTCGATTGCAACTTTGCAAACCGCAGTTAATTTCAATGAATATTTTTGAAAAGATACGCACAGATTTGCTGAAAATTTTACAAGAATTTTTAGAACGATTTTAATTGAAATCACGGGAATCACGCAGAACACGCCTCGCGCAATGAAAATTACTGGAACCAACTCTTAACGAAGATATTAACGTTTTTATTAAACATTGGATTACGTGGAATTTGAACTGCCCGCTCACATGCAACTCAAAGCTCTACGTGAGTCAAATCGCTCACTTCAACGGTTTCAGCAATCTTCTCAATCGAGCAATGTTCATTTCCCACCATGTTTTGTTCAAACTATAAGCAATGTGCTATAGCTGAGCCAAAGCGTGAAGATTGAGGTTTCCCGATTTTTATATCGAAAAAACTGTCATGATCGATAAACGTTTAGCGCGCGATGTGAATCACGTAGAGCATTGCGTTCTCATGAGCGGGTGGTTTGAATTCACGCATCAAGAATTATTGAATATCTTCGTAAGGATTTGATTTCGGTAATTTTCGTCGTGCGCGTCGTATTTTACATGAAATTTTGGTTAAGAGACATGTACCAGAATGCTGAAATTCGTACCTTGCCTAGTGGTCCATTCCTGTCATACTTAATTTTTTTAATGAAAAAATCTTCAGCGTCATTCTCGATCTACCTGATTTTTCCTCTCTGCGTAAAGATCAATCTATTCAACTTTCAAGCAATAGTTTTTGTTTTTTCTCCTTTGGTGAAATAAAAAGGGAGCGGAGATTTTGAAAAATCTTCAACACGATGCGTGTTCCCTCTGTTCACCGTTGATATACAAGGTGTTCCAGGATTAAGCACGAATATTGAAAGAGTCGATTCTTTCGGTCAAAAAAAGACGTTTTTGTAGTTAGACTTTTTTTCAAAAAGCGCTTTCCCTGGGAACCACCCCCTCCCCCTTTTTGCCCACCTGCGCTACACTCAGTCTCTATTATCTCCAATACGATGAGTCAGGGCGAAAAAATGCATGACACATTTTCTCAATACTTTTCAACGCTAAATCTAGTGGTGCCGTCAAAAATTAATTTATGTCGCTGAAAATAATAATTTTGGCCACTTTTAAGTTCGATACTCCCCCCTCCCCTGAGCCCCCGCCCCCATAAAAATGAGTTTTCCCTTTTATAGACGTCAAAAATGAAAAAAAGCGCTAAAAATTACCCTCATAGACCAATTTTCATTAATATTGGTTGATAACCATTGTCACAGCATGGCCCCCCAGGGAGTGGCCCCCAGAGAACGCGTTTTTGGAAAAAAAAAAGTTATACCACAAAAACGTCTTTTTTCGACCCCAAGAATCGACTCCTCCAATATTCGTACTTAATTCTGGGACACCCTGTATACATAAAATGCATGACATTTTTTTCTTTTTTATACTTACGAGGAGGAAAATTTGTACCACTCCCTGATTCATCTTCGAGTTTCAGGCTTACACAAAGCTCAAGTAGCCATACACTGTTGATAGTATTGGAACGAAATCTGGGATCATCACTCTGCGGAGTCTTTTCTGCAGTATTTGCCATTTATTTAAAAAATTGAAGCATTCCTGGTTCCTGATTTTGGGATTTTAAAACTCAAAAATTACCTCCCTTAAAAAGATCTCCTATTTTCATTCGACGAAGAAGGCGCGTCCAAACTGCACGTCAATATCTGCAACCATTTTTTAGGTATTAACAAGTATTTCACGATACGGAACATAGAGTACATAGAGTCGTAATGTAATTGGGAGAACTGGCGCCACTTTTAAGCATTTTCCATGTCCCGAATTCCGAGACTCCTGTGTGACGCCGGGTCACTTTTTCGATACATAATCGATTGTTTGCGATACACAGGTACCCGGTCATCCGATGACAACAACAACAACAACAACAACGGAGATAGGAATTACCATGTATTCCACACCGCCATTTTGGATCGAAAATGTATCGAAAAAGCGACCCGAACTCGGCGCACACCGGGCTCGGAATTCGTCGAGCAGAACATGGAGCCATCTCTCCCATTTACATTACGACTCTATGTACTCTATGATACGGAACGACTATTTCGGGCCTCATACATCACTACTTGTCCACAGGTTTATAAAAAATTAATGCCACAAAAACATTGATTCCTAAATGAGACAGAATTAATGGCTCATGGCTGTGAAATGGACGTATTTCTAAACAGAACTATGTGCACTAAGACATGAGCTCCGAGACCAATAAAAATACATGCGTAACAGGACTCACGTCATAATGCACGTATTTCTGTTCGACAGAAGTACGTCCAAATGTTGTCCAAGTACTACTGGTGGCAGAGTATTGGCCTACGTAACACTTCTAACTTTTTTCTTGTGAAAGCTTCAAGTAGTTAGAGCTTAATCTATGGAAAATCCAAAAATGGCGGTTGATTGTTTCTTTTATAAAGAAGCGATGAATACATTAATGTTATTCTTCTAATCATTCCATGTATAAAAATTAAATGTATTCTTTTTTACCGCTTATTTAGGACCTGAGTTCGTGAAGGCTGCCGGACTTAATTTCAAGAATACAGAACCCGATAAGCTTTACGACCCATTTTTAAACCCAACATCGATAAATGAATTTCTAATGGCAGCTTACAGGGGCGGACACAGTATGATTCTTGAAGTATTGAAGTAAGATCCAATTTTAAGTGTCGTTTATATATTCATGTATAGAAAATGAGATACATTTGTAGGTTCCAAAAAATAGTATCCAATTCAATATTTATGTTCCACGTAGGAGGGACTTTTTCAATGTAAGTACATATTTGTACTGTTATCTTTAGAATAAATTGGTAAGCAGAGCTGTTATCAACATTGACTCAGCTGGATTTTAACAGGATCCAATTCAAGATAGTCCACTATTTCAAGGGTAACATTGATTCATTTATTTCGTCATTAGTGCATGCTTAGAATTTCGGGCACTACAAGATTTTAAGTTACTATTTATGTCATTTCCATCTCGAAATTTTACCTTATGTGAAAGGGAATATTTTGTAACTTACAAGCTTCCTCTTCGTCTGTACAAAAACCATTATACTAAAAGAAAAGAGTCTTTCTTGCATTTGCTTTATAATTTCAGTGATTCAGGAAATGGTACGATTAACTGCGGAAGTAATCTCGATAAAAATCGATTGTACAATAGGAATTTAAGTGGATAAAACCGCGACTTGTCAACTTGCGAGAATTTCCTTTACTACTACTACCACTTGATGGACTACTTCATGGTGTCTATTGCGGTGTAGCCCAAATCCAATTTCCATACTCTATTTCTGCGTATATTCTATTTTTTATGGAGATGTCTAAAACTGATAAATTTTACGTATAAATGGACATATTTATGCTCGTACAAAAGAAACTATGTTGGACGGAAGCCCTACGGACATACCGACGGTGAAACTACCAAACCACGTATCTCGGTTTGCGACGTCGCAGACTTCCTGTCATACTTTATTTTTTAAATGAAAAACTACTTAACATCCAGTCTTGAAAATTTCTGTGATTTTTCCTCTTTGTGCGGAGAAAATTCCGTGAAAATTTCAAGGAACGATATTGATTTAGTCTACTTCAAAAAAATAAAATATGAGCGTAGATTTTTAAACACCGCAAACGAGATACGTGGTTTGGTAGTTTCACCGTCGATACTTCCTTTTAGCATAAATACGTCGTCCGTATGACAGCCTCCGAATAAACTGAGAACTAGAATATTATTGATCTCTAAACAATCATTGGAAAGTTACGGTCCAGTCTGCTAAAATGCATGTTTTTAAACGGGAAATGCCGCCATGAGACGTCAAAAAGCAGTAAATTTTGTCACCTCCAATGAAATGTTCCTTCAATTTCGCGTATCAGAAAAAAAGTATGAAACATTTCATGAGCTGCGCTCATCAAGGACATCCTGGAACATTATTTTCCCCTGCAACTTCTCCATTCACTTGAATTTGTTTTGATTCTTTTGCATATTATAGATTGCACATGCATAATAATGAGACGGAGCACATGCGTATAAATAATTTTCTGAATCGGCCAATGCACGTGGTCAAATCGTACGGACCACTCGTGGAGAGCACTTGCGACTCGCCGATGGCCAAACAAGATAAATTCGGCTCAAAAGACGTAAGTGACAAATTCCATCCATCCAGGCGGTGCGAAGCAAAACAAAAAGTGAATTTTCCAATTACCCAAGAAGCATTTTTCAACGGAAAAATCGGGATATATTGCATTTTTATCGGCGATAAAATCACCAGGAGCATTTGTCAACGGAAAAATCGGGATGTATTGCATTTTTATCGGCGATAAAATATCACTAGGATCATCATCATCTGAGCAATTATTCTCGATCTTTTAGGAACAGAATCGCGATTTTATCGCCGGGCAATTTATCGCGATATGTTTGAAATAAAAATCGCGATAAATGGCGATTTAATCTCGATTTTACCGACAAAAATTGATCACGGCGATAATATCGAATCAAAAATTGCGATTTGTAGCGATTTAATCGCTATATATCGCGATTTTTGATGCGATTAATTCTCGATATATCGCCACCGATATAATCGCGATAACCAACCGATAAAATCGCTATTTATCGCTATCACTGCTACTTGGGTCCCTTCTTCTCTCTTACTAATGATTACTATATATAATTAATAAGTTAAATATTATCAGTTAAGTAATTTATCAGTGCAGCGCTTATATATTATTAACTATATTATTCTACCTCTTCTTCTCTTTTTCTAATGATTTTACCTGCTGATCTGTGCTGCAATGATCTTTTACAAGCTGCATTTTCTAAAAACCAATTTCTCTTCCCTGACTTTAGATGAACAATAAACTATTCCACTCGGTGCGGGCTGTTGGTGGAGATCTGGACACCACGTCGATAGAACGCGAGAGAGAATCGGGATTGGGTGGCTGGTGTCACTACATTCATAAGCTCCTCGGGCAGGACAAGATTGAGTCTTGGAGGGACTTGGAAAAATACTTTGCTCCAGATGTAAGAGAAGCCTCTTTGTAATTTTTCAAACCCCAGGTAGGGTTGGTGAGAGTAAAACTGAAGGAAAACCAGATGCATAATTTGAGCTGGGAGCTATGTGCCATCTCCTCTCTTTAGGCGATGATACAAGTTGATACAGATACAGATTGGCTGACGGTTTCCACACATTTTTAGGTCAGATGATCCCAAATTGTTAATCGTTCTAGCACAAACAATATGGGTTTAATCATGGCAAAGCAATATTCGGAAACGGAGAAAAAATTATTCGTCGAGACTTCAAAAATTGATTCACGGGAATTTACTGAGGAGAGTCGTAGATTATATGGACGTATTTCTACCAAACAAACCTATGTGGAGGTGAGAAATATGGGGTGTGCTCGTTAGTTCTCTGGCCGTAAGAGCGAATGAGAATAATAAAGCGCCAGTGACGTCAGCGGCAACGAACGAGGGTGGGTGCGGGGGCGCGGCGGCGGGGACATCGTCGTCGTGGCACTTTAAATCATGAGCCCTGTCCACAACGCTCTCTTGCCATGCCCGCGGCTCATGAGTTCCGCCTTCAGTTGACACATAGGTCTGTTTGATAGAATGTAATATCCCGCTTTTCCAATTCTTCAAAAGGAATCACGCCCACTTTTACATTGCTTCTTATGCAGCTTTCTAGAGCACACCCCATATTTCTCACCTGCACATAGGTCTGTTTGGTAGAAATACGTCCATATAAAAGTCCCAATTTGCCCTCATTTCACGTGAGAATTTTATTTTTTATAACATTTTTTTTCATCCATAAAGTAGGGAGAATGGTACGATGCTTCCTGAGACTACCCACTTAATTGAGGATTTCCAAAGAAAATAAAAAAAAAGAAAGGAGTAAGTATCTTCGCCATCATTCTTTTTAAAAAATTCCCGACGATCTGAATCAGAGATTTTCTGGAGATCTATTATACTAATGGGAGGTTTTTTTAAAAAAAAATTAACAATGCAGACAGAAGGCAACAAAAAAGTGACCGGTTTAAGAGAGGACAGCTCTCTACTTTTTTCACCATGTTTTTGGACATCCATGTCGGGATACCTCCAAAATTCCTTTTGGGCTTTCTTTTTGCTCATACTGAGGATTCGAGTTTATTAATTTATTAAATCATGGTTTGAATTTTTTATTTTATTAAATCATGGCATTGTTTAAAAGTGCTGCGTTGTTCCTTTCGGACTTTCCTGAAAAAGAGCGATTTTGGCATGTGCCTCTTCTCAGGATGGTCCTTGAAATACAGCCCATGAAAACATGTATTTCGGATATTTTTCAGACCATAAGGGACTTCAGAAAAGTCTACAAACACTGGTTGGACATAGATCTGTATGTTGGATGTGTCGCTGAGTGTCCTGTCGGCAACAGCATGTTCGGGAAAGTCTGCACGGCAATAATAATCGAGCAATTCAAAAGGTGGCTCATTGGAGACAGATATCATCCCACCTGTGATGGTCAGCCAGGACTGTTTCCAAACCGTAAGTTTTCAATAGAAATATTAGTAAATCGTAACATATAATTGTGTATGACTGCAAATTCAACCATATCTGTACGTCCGTGACGGTTTGTCGTAACGGCCCATGCAAGTAGCACAGATTGCAACAAGTAGAAATTGTATGGTGAAAATATTGCAATGGAGAATTTGCAAGGGTCTGAAATTTGATGAATTTCCTGTTTAAGTGGAATCCTCTGAGTGAACTGAACACGAAGATACCCTTGATTCATAAATCGAGCAATTATTAGAGGAGATATGACAAAATAACCGATTCTGCTAAAATACATGTGTTTAAATGGGAAATGCCGCCAGATGACGTCACAAGGCGGCACATTTTCTCACTTTTAAATCAATTTTTCTCCAATTTCCCGTGTCAGAAAAAAATTATGAAAAATATTGCGAACTCAGCTCATTAGGCACTTTCAGATGAAGCAATAAAAAAATTGCGTGCAAATTCTCCAATGGAGATGATCCTGAGTCCACTCACTGATCGTGAGTGTTGTGTATGTTGCCTAGCTCCCATTTGAAGGGGCCCCATTTATTGAAACTTATTGCAGTATAATTGAAATAAGTTGCAATTTTTCATCGCAATGCATATTGCCTATCTTTCTGGCAAATGAAGCTCATTTTGTTGATTGTTTAAAGTCGGCATATGACTAAAGGATGTAAAAATATTGCAATTTAATGATACAAAAATTACAAATCCACTAACATCAAATTGCAATTTAATTTCAATATTTTCGTTGCACTGTGCTACTTGGGAGGTTGGTACCTGGAACTGAAAATAAGTAGAACGATTAACAAGGAACGCCAATAATATACCATATACCCTAATGCCATTAATGGTGGTAATAATAATACCGAATGCTCTAGAGGGAGTCATGAAGAGCATTACATGATATAGGATTGAGATTGAAACTTACGTTATAAAATCGTCAAGGGGGAATAAGAGGAGGGGGTCAAAAAATCCTTTTTNTTTTTTTTTTTTTTTTTTTTTTTTTTTTTTTTTTTTTTTTTTTTGAGTTTTGTGGGTTCTATTCCTTTGTTCGAATTTTTTAGGGAATCTACAGCCATCTATATACAAATGAGGTTATTTCGAGCTGAGTAGGATTTGAAAGAGTAGGAATGTAATATTGGACAGTGATCCAAAATTTAGTGTCACGTATTTTATGAACAAATTAGTATTCTACCTTTTCTTTCCTTGCGTTTAAGTCTCCAAAGAGGTGTTCGTGATGTTTATCGCATTTCGTCGGTGATCGTACCAGACCACGTATCGCTTTGCGACGCTGTATACTTCCTGTCTTACTTAATTCCTTAAATGAAAAACTACTCAAAGTTAACTATAGAAAACTTCCCTGTTATTTCTTCTGTGCGCGAGGAAAACTCTGTGAAAATTTTAAGAAATCATATTGATTTTCTCTCCTTCGAAAAAATAAAATAGAGGAGGAGATTTTTAAACACCGCAAATGAGATACGCGGTCTGGTAGTTTCACCGTCAATATTTTATGCATACAAAATGCGAGCCTTTGGTCGAAAAATCCGAAAATTAGCGTTGAGCACTTTATGAACGGCCCCTAGCGATAAAAATTACTTGATGTCTGGCTTAATAAATGAATAAGATCCAGAAAAAAGATAGATTATGTGCATGATAAAAACAATTTTCAACCCCTGAGTGGCCGAGTGCCTTTAACTGTATCGCCATCGGATTAAAACGCTCTGATATTATGTGCGTCGCACAGTGGAACAAGCCAAAAGGAGAGGTCGGACATGAAATTTTTGGCTAAAATTTTAAATTGTAATGTTATTTTTGTCACAAATTCAATTTCGTAGAGTGTTTCTGAACAGAAATTTCACGAAAAAACCGATGAAACCACATTTAAACTTTTTCGTTTCGTATTTTCAAAAATATAAGCTTTCATAGTTCCCAGATTTTGTCCGAATTCTCCAATTGACTCGGTCCAGTGAGCGTCGCGAAATTGCGTGCCGGTGCATATTAAGCCATCATATACGTGTTCAATTTTTTGGCGAGAAAATCGCGGAATATTCTTTGGACTATGGGACGCAATTTTGTGGCAATTTTTTTTTGGGGGGGGGGAGGGGGCAAGATACATACTTACGGTGAGCTCCTTCAACACCATGTGTTGAGTTTACCTACTTGTTTCAAGTACATCATGTTTGAACATTTTTTCAACATTCCACTTAATACAGTCGAATGCTATTTCCGTTATGAAAATGTGCATGCTTACGATTGTTACTATCCACTGCAGGTAGATCTGACTAACACTCATTTTATTCTCTGAACAGATCAACTCAAAGAATTGAACAAAATGGACATGGCTTATATATTGTGTCATTACGGCGATATGACAGAAGTTCGGGAAAAACCTTTTCTGATGGGGTAAGTATTCAAAACGTCTATATTTCTTGACAAGGAGGGCGCTTAAAAAAATTGAAGGGCTTTCTTTATCAAAGGCTCAGTTCAGGGTGTGGTCAATGTCAACGTGCGGTTGCACGTAAAGAATGATTAAATAATTCCCCTCTTATAAAATCTTTACAACGCCACCCACCATATTAGTATTTTGATGTCTGTTACAAACTAGCCACGTGTCAGGAGATAAAAAAAAGGGGATCTCATGTGAAAGATTCTATCGAAAAATATCCTCGACCCCTGAAAACCAACAATATTTTTAAAAAATTATATGAAGATCCTCAGAATATCCTAGAGACCAAGATTATCAGGAGACCAGACTTGCGTAATCTTTATTCCCGTTTGTGACATCCATGAGCCGCGTTGTCTCAACTCTCTCTATAAAGGGACTCTAAATGACGTGTGACAGGGAATGATTAGGGAATCAGAGAGCTTATAGTTATTTTTTTGTCTTTAATTTCTGTATTGCAGGGGAAAGAAAAAGGAGTGCAGCTCAATGCCTAAAGTCGATTGGAACGCCTGGAAAGCTTTGGCCAATGAAACATCACAAAAAAGTTGATTTTGATCAACTCATCAAAATTAATTCTCATGTTTCTGGAGCGGGCAGCTTAAATGATTAAAGCTTTAATCGCTCGAAAATCCGAGATTGTACTCGAATCGTCTCTATTCCTCTGTTCCATTGTCTGAGCCATGTACTGTTTGTAAAACTACCACCTCAGAGTTGTTGCTCAAGACCTTCATTTGTAATGTAAGCTCTATTTACCCAGAAATTTAAGTCCATTGTCGCTGGTAGTATTTCAAGTAAGACAGCTCAACTTTGAACGTTAAGCCCTGATTGAAGAATAAAAAACTTCTAAATTTTGTCATTGCTTAATTTTTTAAATCTTCAAACATCTTACACTACAAAGGAGTAACTACATTATGACTGCCAAAAAAATTGCTGAGCGATATTCGTCTGGAAACGTTGCATCAACATTGAAGTAACGTAACTCAAAAGACTTTGTCCTTGTTCGTGAAGCAAAATTACACTGATATTTTTGTCGCATATTGCATATCGCTGTTTATGTTTTTCAACGCTGTTGGTCAATTATGTGGTTGGAGAATTATCTGTCAATATCTCTGCTAATATTGTTTACCTAATTTGCGAGCGTAAAATTGCATTGAAACTTAAATAAAAATGACGTTAGACACGCTTGAAAGTGATTTCCCCATGTTGCCTAGCGCTTGAAATAAACTATGGCAATTCTCTCGTAAATTACGTTATTTGAACATTACTGCGACGTTGCTTCATAAAGTTGCAGCTACCCACGTAGAGTACATAGAGTAGTAATGTAAGTAGGAGAGCTGGCGCCACTTTTCAGCACTATCCAGGTCTCGAATTCCGAGACTCCTGTATTACGCCGGGTCATTTTTTCGATACATAATCGATTGTTTTCGATACACGAGGACCCAGCCATCCGATGAAATCAAAGAAGATAGGAATTACTCACTTATTCCACACCGCCATTTTAGATCGAAGATACATGCGACCGAAGCTCGGCGCACACCGGGCTCGGAACTTGTCGACCAGAACATGGCGCCAGCTCTCCCATTTACATTACGACTCTGGGTACTCTATGGCTACCCCTTTTAATGTATCTGTAACACATCATTATCAAACTTAAGTACCTAATTTCAATGAGAGACACTTTGTAATCATTACACAGCCGTATGAATTGTACTTTTTCCTACGGCTAACTACTGCCTAATTGGCGAAATATTGTGTCGTAGTATTTCCCTTTATTTTTCTCCAGTATAGGATTAAACATTATTTATGGCACACAAACAATTTTTTTTATTTACGGAGATAAGTGTGTACGTTCACATTTGCAAACGTGGACATCAAAGGTAAATATACAAACAGTGGAAAAAATACACGTAAAACAATTCGAAACCCTAAATTACACACTAATTAAAGTAAGATCATGCGTGTTTGAGACCAACCACGCGAGGTAATCACAGGCTTATATTTAGACAACCAAATTTGAAATTTCACAAAGAGGAACCGTCACGGAGTCACTCTGGTTTGACAGACTCGGATCGTAGGACTTCATACATAATTCAGATTGAGACGCAACAGACCAAGATCAAAACCATTCTAATGAAACTCACACCGACTGATTTAGTGACCCCGTCATTCGATATGATACCGAACTTTTACTTCAAACCAAAACAAACTAACGTAACCTCATGAGCGAATTCTTCATGAGCTATAATTGTGTTAATTTATTAAAATTTAGTCATTGACTGGTCATAAACCAATTAAAGATTCACGAGAAATTTCAGTTGTATGAAACACTCGGATGCATTTTACCACCATGGCGCAAAAGGACGCGAATCAGAAACAAGGTTCTGCGTTTGTCTACATTAATTTGAACCAAGGGCTCGATAAAACATCGAATGAGAATGACGTAGCCACTACTTCGAAAGGAAAGGATGCTGATTTAACATTCTGGATGTGAAAAAGTGTGCGGCAACTCACAAAACGCTGAAATAACCGACACAGCAGATAGTTTTACATCTTGAAATTGCTATAACTGTTGTACATTATCTCCGTGCTATGGAAAAACGCTGTATGAGCCTTTAGGCGTTTCCAAATCTCCTTCGAAAAATCATGAATTTTCGAGGACATTTGTGAATATTTTTCTTCCAGTTTTACAGAGGATTTAGTTCGTAATTTGATCTGAAAAATCTAAAAATTGCGAGGACACATATTCATAATTATCTCGAAAATTAAATCTTTTCTGAAAGGAAATTTGGCAACATTCGAATGTTTATACGGCGTTCTTCCTTAGCACGGCAGCACAGCGGTTAATTCAGCGTTTTGTGAGTCGTCGCAGACTTTTTCACATCCAGAATGTTAAATCAGCATCCTTTTTTTCAGAGGCGGATCCAGCACTATGGCAACACCCGATTGCCTCCGTTTAAACCTACGCTAAATAATCGATTCTTGTCGGAGCACCTGGCCCCTCCAGGAATCGATTCATCTCCGTAGGTTTACTTGGAGAAAACACAGTGTTGCGAATTTGCTAGATCCGCCAATGCTTTTTTTTTCGGTGTAAATCAGTCTATGAAACGGCCCTAAAACCTATCCCTCGGTCTATGCTCAGGGTAGCCACTCGGTGTCGTAGTGGTATCGGTTGCCGGGGTCGTTGATGTTCTCCTTCTTGCCGTCCTTCTTCGGGGACGAGTCCTTGTCCTCGCCGGAGCTGAGGGTGTTGTACACCTTCTTGGCGCCGTTGAGTCCGGCCTCCACACCCTCGCCGAGCTTCTCGCCGGCCTTCTTGACGGCCCCGCCGATGTTGTGCGGGCTGAAAGTCTCGTCGTCGATGTTGATGTTGTACGCGTCCGCCGCCGGGCAGTTGCTCTGGTCGATGTTGCTCAGGTCGAACGGGCTCACACCCGAGGCGCTCAGCTTCGATCGCACCTGCAACCCATCAAATTCCCAATAATTATGGTTTTCTTCCTCGAATGGACCGTGCTAAGCAGAAAGCAGTGGTGCCCATTCCCCCTCCCCGAAAACTTTTGAATCCATATGAGTTCCCCCCCCCCTAATATTAAGTTAGAGGTGTCGTCAGCTAAGTTGACGGTTGTTTATTTTCGGTTTGCAAGCGCCAACGACGAATTTGGGCCTCTGAACAAAGTGGCGTTCGCTACTATCCACTGAAAACATCAGTCTCATGATCGTACCGTAAAAAAACTACTTATCAGTTATGATTTGCGACTTTTTTGTGGTTGTGATTTCTGTGTGGCTAAAAATTAAAATGTTACAAGGTTTGAAAGTATTAAAAAACTTATCTAAGCTTGTGCTCTTGCTTCTGAGAGAGTCAGATGTTTTCATGCGGATAGTAGTGACGCGAAAACGCCTGCAAACCGAAAGTAAACAACCGTCAACTTAGCTGACGACACCTCTATTTACCCCCTTCACTGGGGGAAAGAAGCACCGGGGGGAAACGAGCAAAGAAAATACAGGGATCTTCATGGCAAAGAAAAATTGCAACTTAATGTAATTACTTTAAAATTCCAATAAATACGAAGGCAAGCCCCTTCAATTAGTATATTGGCAACATACACAACACTCCGATGTATGGTGGCAAGAATTTTACCTTACATGGGTAATCGCACATTGTTGCAACTTGTGTTATGAAGAATCTCAGTGGTGCAAATCAGCTTCTTTGGTTGACACAACCAAAGCTCAGTTTGGTGAACCGAGAAAAAATTGCTTGTGTCGAACGTTTTCCATTTTAACCGAAGTTTTAGGTCTTGTCAACCGAAAAGGTTAGTTCACACAACCGACGCGACGGTTCAATCTGGATTCTGATTATTTGATTGGTTGATGCTTTCTTTGAATCTAGGTTTAAACTTTTTCATATCATGTATAAAACTCTTTAAAAAAGATTACATGTGGTTACACAATTTTTAAGGGTAAAAGAGACTCTCGAGTGAAATGCACTATTGCACCCCGAATATCGCTCTGATTTATCAATCAGTGAAAAATTAGTTTCATGGTGCGCATTTTGAAACTAAACTTAAGAAAAAAAAGAAAAAAAATTGAAAAACTTAAATAAGATTAATCCGAGGTTGGATTAATTCAGAACAAGTTCAGATGTATAGACTGTGATTGTTACGTCTCCTCCAAAATTTAATCATCACAAGATCGTTACGTATCAATGGAAAAATCTCCACAATGAATATTACAAATATAATACAACTAGGGGGCCCTGCCCCCTGACCGCTACGCGGCCCAACCCCCGGGAGGGCGCCTCGCGCCCTCAAGCCCGCTTCGCGGGCCCTATACGCATATGTTTAGGCAAAAATGTTCTTCCATTTTAATACACCATTTTGTGTTCGAGCTGCATCGATTTCAAAATTTTCAAGTAAATTGACCAATGCCACAAATCGAAGCCGGAAGAATGCAGGAACAATTGAGTTAAACCTTAAACCTTGGACCTTGAACCTTGAACCCTGAGCGATGCACCGTTCCTCAACTCTTCGAATGAGGAGCCCTTCACGAGCTTTTCCATTGTTTTATTGTTTATTCGAGTCACTCAGGTAGATATCTCTCACGCTATTAACATTGGACTTAAGTGACATGAGCTTTAAAAGCTCTACAACATTAAAAGTTCGGGGTTTCATAATTTTTTGCACATCTACATCTACTACAGATGAAACACACGTAAAGATCATCCTTATCGGTCCGGCAGTTCGTCAGAAATAGTGCTTCCAAGATTTTGCTTGCAGCTGTATAATATAGACTAGATTTAATTTCGAATAAAAGGCGCTTGATACATACCTTGTCGAGGTACATCTTCTCCAGGGTTTTTGATCGAGACAGAATGGTAGCGGACAAACGGTGAGCAAAAGCTAACTTTTGACAGGTGAAAATTCCAGCATATTTACTGTAATCCGTGGAGAATACTACGTAAGAAGCACTGCCAGCAACGCCTGGAGAGAAAAAATGTATAGTTGAGAAACATAAAAATTTAAAAAAATTTAAAAAAGAAGTTTTAATTTTTTGAGAGGTAAATGAACGAGTTTAACTCATGACAGGATGAGTCATGATCAACGTCTTTAACATGAAGGGATCGTGTTGTTTTAATTTCTGTTAAAAAAAATGAATTATGACAAGTGACAGGCAACTAAAATTTAGTTAGGTTGATTTTGTTTAGTTACGTCAAAATATGATTGGGTGAACTTGGCCAAAGTGCGTTGACAACAGATGACTGTGACTCCTAACAGCTGCACCTAAACAGTCACACAGCGCATGTTTGATGCTGCGTATTTTACTTCAACGCACCTGTGCAATAACCCGATATTCCCCAGACCATATGTTTTATCTGGGACTATCGGAGGCGATAACCTCCCATAAACCGGTGTGTTTACAGTGAATTTTGATTTATTATCACACCTTTAATAACAGTTCATTAGTAACAGTGAGATGTTCTACAAGAAGTTTATTTCAAATGGACTACACTTTGCAAATGAGTACAGATACTCGATAGACTGCTTCCTTCCAGGGATTAAGTATGTGCATGTGCAATATTCATATGCAGATAGGTGCTTCTGTGGATGAGCCAGGAACAGTGCTGCCACCGTATGAACCTTTAGGCGTTGTCACATTTCCTTTGATAAAACGCGAATCTCCTGGTAAATTAATGAATATTTTCCTCCCAATTTTTCAGATAGTTTACGTCGTAATTTTACCCAAAGATTCTGAAAATTTAACGGAAAAATATTCATAAGTTTCCTAGAAAATAAATATTTTATCGAAGGAAATTTGGCAACTTTCGAATGTTCATACGACGTTCTTCCTTAGCACGGCAGAATAGTTCCTCGACGAAAAATTTTGCCCAAATTATGTAAACCACAGCGCTCATATCGCACGTATTTCACTATCAAAGCAATTATAAAAAGCACTATAAAATCAACGAATGAGACTTTCCCAGACGACATAATAGAGGGGTCAATTAATAGTAGAAATCTTAAATGACTTCACCGTCCTCGAACTTTTGCAGGGCCGTATTAAGGGGGTGGCCACATGGGCCGCGGCCCATGGCGGCAAATCTATAGGGGGCAGCAAATCTATAGGGGGCGGCAAATTTTGCAATTTTTTTAAAAGTAGGTATAAAAAAATCGGATTGAGAAAAAAAAATTACTAACGAGAAAAGGCGACAAAATCTCTCATTTCCTGAGAGTACAGTTTTTTCTAATTTTTTCGTCTTTCAGTGATACAAGAGACAGCACCTTCAGTTAGTCGAGTTAAGAGAGAAACCAAACACGCAATTTGGCCTGGAACAGCGCGACTCAGAGAGAAATGATGACGAGGACTGAAGATGAAAAGGAGAAACCCCTCGGCGTGGCGATCGACATTTAACATATATTAGCGCCTACAAGACTGCACGAATATTTCACGCATTGCATCAAACACTGTGCGTCGCGGTCATTGCGGTCAGCGTGAAACGGATAGCGCCTACAAGAATGCATGAATACCTCACGCATTGCGGCAAACACAGTGCGATCAGCGTGAAACGCATAGCGCCTACAAGACTGCGTGAATACTTCACGCATTGCGCCAAACACGGTGCGGTCTGCGCGGCGCGGAGGCGGAAGTTAAAATCATGAATCCACATTTATGTTTGTTCTTTCATAATTTTTTCGTTCATTTTTTATGTATGGAGGGCCTTGTCTACATAGAGATAGGTTTACGAAACTTAACTTTCGCGCAAAGTTCCGTGAAGTTTCTCTAGTAGTGTTGCCAGGGTTTTCCCAAAAAATGTGTTCAACACGAGTAAACGCGTCTTATGCACCCTTCCCCCGCTGGCACGTTCATCAGATGGTTTTTATTGATGTTTCAAAACGAATGAGAAGGGGGCGGCAAAATACAGGCGGCCCATGGGCGGCAAGTTCATCCGGCCCCGAAGTCCTACTCATTCAGGGAGTTGATACTTGTTTTTCATTGAAAATACTCACTGAGGGGGAATCGGACGGTCATTTTTGCTGGTACATCTGGGACAGCTTTCAAATTTCCAGTATAGTGGTAATTGTTATCCACACTAGCAAGCCCTAGGACAGGGTGCTCACTTATCTGCTCCACTTTGTAGCTCCCTGGCTCTCCAGTGCTCGTAAAGTTGTAGAAAACGCATCGGCTGCCGGTTGAAGTTTTCTGGATTACGTACCATTTCCCCAAGAACTGAAAAATAAACGTTTTATGAACATCATTGTAAGAGAATATAATTCAGTATTTCAGTATTCAGTAATTTCAGTAATTCGGTATTTTTTAAGTACCTTGCTGGAAAAATGAGAAATGTTTTAGCGTTCAAAATTTCAGTCAACACTAATTCCGTCCCAAAAATACAAAAAGTAACAATAAGGACGCCTTGTAACCTTAGCCGGGAGGGATAGAGATCCCTTAAAATTCCACTTTCTTTCCCATTTTCTTTCGCCTTCTTTGAAGTAAACACCCCTCTCCGCTCTCAATCCTCTAAATCTGCTGAGAAGATTTTCTCATCAGTGCTGATAGTTACGCTATTAGAAATAAACTTCATTTTGCATTGAGGAACTATAATGTTTTAGAAACAACTTATGTCATAATACTTCCCCTATGCAGATAGGTGCTTTTATGCGCGAGTTCGGAATAGGAGTTTCTTATTGCAAAAAGTAGTGAAAATGAGAGGATATAAAAGATCAAACTATGCATACTTTGGACATATCGAATTCTGGCATAGGTTCAACGGTTGGACAGCTTCCCAGGTGATATGAGTGTCCTGAAACGCATCCAAGCATAGCAAGCAAAGCTGGGATGCATAAAAGTATCCATCCTAACGAGTTGCTCCTCTCCCTGTAAAACATAAATTATAACAATAAGATTTTTAATGCAGAGAAATGCAATACGTGACAATGAGTACGTTGCAATTTTAGAAAAGGATTAATTTCGCATCCACCTAACCAAGTAGAGTGACATTGAAGCACTTAGAGACAAAAAAAAAGAAGAAAAGCTCAAATGATGGGCTTCGTGGTAAAAATTCGATTTTTTTGGAATCAAGCTCTAAATATATTGGATGAGAGAAAACTGCAATATTTGCCTCTATTTATATTCATCGCGATTTGTTATAAAAATCATTGAAACTTCTTTAATGGGCTTATCTTTCCCCAAAATAGGAGGCACAGCACTTTACCGCCATCTTGTCGATGAGCTGATGGGCTACGGTAGTATCTTAGTGCAGTGGTGGCACGTTGAAGACAAAAATCACTCGTCATCACCGCGGCGCGATATTGAACGATTCCCGTTTTTTCATGCCACATTTGAACTTTCAGTGTAATCAAAGCGTCTCTCCATTTTAGTGAGCACTATTACCTGATGATATTTCTGGCAATAATATCCATCAATATTGCCCCCCTCCCCCAATCAGGGTGCAAAGAATACCAAGGACCAAAGTGCAAAACTACCTATCTCCATACCGATATTTCAAAATTTCCACTCATACTTTATTTTTTAGAAGAGGAAAACGCCAACTTGGTGACTTGAAATTCATACAGAATATTCTGCTAACAGAGGAGAAAAATCAAGGAAGTTTTCAAGAAATACGTTGACTACTTTTTCAAAGAAAAAATGAAGTGTGACAGAAAGCCTACAACGTTGCACACGGATATACGTGGTCTCGCAATTTGGCCGTCGCTAGGGTTACCATGCCCCACCCCCTTTTCTCCCTGTGTGAATGTATTTGAGAGGCTTGGAGGACGAAACGCGTATATGCAGTTTTTGAAAAAAACCGGGATGTTGATAATTTCAAGTATAACTACTCCTAATGCATATTCAGTGAAAAATTCGCTCTCAAATTCCAATTTTTAAGCATCGAAAAGTCAGTTTGAACTTCCTTTCCGCCATAAGGATTCATATAATTTCAAAACTTAAAACTCGCATTTCTCGAAATAGCAAAAACTGCACTTATGCGCCTTGTCCTCCAAGTCGCTCATTTGATTCTCGGACTGATCTGGCTTCATGTGGACCCGCTTGTCGGTGTATAGTTCACCCTGACCGTAAATAAAGTAGGTAGGAAAGACGACGTGTGAATTAATAGGTTTATTGACTTGGGATGGAGGAGAGGAAATCAGTCTGCCATTGAACCAATACCGGTTCGGTGTCACCGCCAAGTCACGAGGAGTTGAGTCATGTCACCCCAAGGAAGCGAATAATTCAATCAAGCCATGCTTCGACAATGGACCAGGACCAGGTCTGACGCGAGATGACGTATGACGTCACGTGTGTCATCTCGCGTCGCGTCGTTAGCGCCGCAACTTCCTCTTTAACATTCACCAGCTGATTTGGTCCGACTCCTGAAGGTGAATCAGTCTGGTGACTCATCTATTTACTCGGCGAGCAACGGTTATTGTCTTTTAGGAAGTGCAATCAGACTTTTAACGGACCCCTATGCTGAGAAAAAATTGACGTGGTTTCAGCAAAAACACGCTCAAATCCCCCTCCTTCCCAAATTGAAATATTTGGGCAGTTCTTGCTTTGGTCGTTGTTAAAAAAGGCGCGTTACTTTTTACTGAATTCCAACCAATTTTGGTGTTGTTTGCAGTGAAATTTAAGTGGTATTATTCATGAGATTTTCATGTTGGATAAAAATTTTTATGCAAATTTTCTTTTTATTTAAATTAAATTTTGCCTAATTTTTTTGTAGAGTACCGAATGTAATTTTTGAAAATCTTGTGAATAATCTTATAATATAGGTGTAAGACGAAGCATGACAGAGGAAAATAAGGAGAAGTAAACCGTCTTTTCACAACAGCACCATGGATGTTAAGGTCTTGTAATGCACCGTGATAAATATGTTATTTCATATCAGCATCAGCTAGAAAATTATCTGCCTTTCTACGTCATGTTTGACTATCACCAAAGCTAGGCCGAGCTTTAAGTTTTTTCGTTTAGTTTCTTCCACTCAGTTTATCAGGTGGACTGAGGCACAAATGAAATTATACAAATTATAATGAATAAAACTTAATTCCAGAGTTTTATCACATGTCAATCATAGGCATTTTAAACATTGAGATCGTAATTGATTCCTGCACAAGGAGAGGGGGTAGTTCACACAAAATGCCTAAAATTCAAAATCCATCGATTGCTTTTGAATTATTTCTTCAAGCCAAACCTTATAATGGCTTTTTCTAAAAAACACATTTGAACATATTCTTATTTCTTCGTGGGTAGAAAATTCATGATTAATAGAGCTGGAATTTACTCTTTTAGTCCAGTCCTTAACTAAAGGTTTGGTCCTTTAGGCATAATTCAGTCCCTGTGATCGTCTCTTGGTCTAAATATTTATCACTGATTAGAGCCTGATTTTCTGATTTTCTGACTCAAATCGACAACATGGAAATGGAATCCGATTGATTCCTAGACGTTTATCGTAATCGGTATTAGTGTGACGTCAGCGATATGATGTGACCCGAAGCACACCGCACCATTGAATTAGGAAAGAAAGCCATTTAAGCTTTCGGACCTTGCAAAATTTTCATTGATAAAATACACATTTTCATGGGAATCGATGTATTTTGGCATTCCAATTTTCCTGCGAATTTTATCTGAATTCTGATCCAGTGCATCTGAAAATTTCAAGGAAAAATACTCATAACTTTTTTCAAGTTTTAATATTCTATCTCAGGAAATTTGGCAACGTTCGTATGAGCTTACGGTGTTTTTCTCTCAGCGCAGCAGCACGCATGAGAGATATTCTCTTCTCTGAGAATCCACATCCACAATCATCGATCAAGAGCAAACAGATTCTGAGTCACCAAAGTTACCTTTTACCTTCATGAATACTTTGTTTACAAACTCATTGCTCTGTATGCGGTTGCTATCTGAGACTTCGTGTTTTATTCGATGCTGCGCTTGAAAAAAGAAAAGAGCAGCTTATCAGCTTGTATTCTGTAATGATTAGCATAATGCGCTTTGGTATTATATTGAACTTTGGACTGATAAAATCATCCTTGTTTGATATTGAGCAGATTCTAGGCAAAGAAACGAAGGTTGAAAATTTTTTGTATTATGGTTTTTCCTTCCGCTATCCCCCCCCCCCCAATCTGTTTTTTAGGCCTTTCATATGCCTTTTCAGCGGGACGCAGCGGAGGTTAAATATATTTCAGCGCTTTTGAAACTGTACTTTACGTTGCAGCAGTTCTTCTCGTGTTTTACCTTTACCCCATGTATCGCAGGTTGCAATAAATTGCAAACTACATTATAAAATTATTGCTATTGTATGAGAGTGTTGTGCGTGTTGTCTGCTCATTGATTGAAGGGGCTCACTTCATTGAAAACCGTAATAAAATTGGAATCAAATGCATTTTTCTTCCTTTTATTTTCAAATTACGTAGACCTGTCTCACACATCAACGGTGTATGTCTGTAACCACGTATCTTCTTTGTGGTGTTGGAAAATCTCCTCTCCTATTTTGGTGTTTTTTAAAGGAGAACAAATCAACACCATTACTTGAAGTTTTCGCAGAATTTTCCTCGCACAGAGAAGAGAAATCATCACAGTTTTTAAAACTTCAGACAGTCGTTGAGTACTTGTCCAATAAAAAAAGGAATTATGATAAGAAGTCTGCAACGTCGCAAACCGAGATACGTAGTTTAGGACTTACACCGTCGACATTGAACTCATTTTATCGATCGTTTAAAATCAGCGCTTACTGAACAAAGAATGTAATAATACTTGCAACTTTAATGCATTGAATTTCAAAATTGTTCTAATATGCAGTGTGATGCTTAGGAACAGAAGGAACTAATAAATATTTTATCGCGTGATATATTCTTCGTTATACCTACAAACCCTAATTTCAAGCAATCTGGTCGGAATTTTAAAACACTGCAGCGTTTTGACATAGAGGAACGTCAATGCAAAGTTCAGCACCCGAATTTTGTTGGCATAGCGTCGGCCACAAATCAAACCAATGTCCTAAATCCAACCTCATATCCAATATCCAATATCCTAAAATCATCAGGCTCAGCCAATCAGAGAGCTTACGGCCACGACAGCCGTAACTGAAACTAATGTGGTCAAAAAAATCGGACCCCGGTCTAAAATCTTATTGTTTCCTCGGAGTTGAGAAATTTAAATTAATTACTGTTCTTCCATGGAATAAACATGTGAGACTAAGTGGATTGTTGGCATTAGTTTCCACCTCGCTGACACTTCGCTATCTAGAAATTACAACATAGATCAACAAAATTTGTGAATATGTTCTGAGATCAATCCTCATTATACACTCCGAAGATTCTCTTGAGAATCAGAGAAATTTGTGTTGAGAATATTCTCACTATGTCTCAAAAATATACTAAATAAAACATTCTCAGAGTGGGTCAAGCAAAAATGCCCATCCCTACGATAATGCATCGCAGAATATTTTCATGCTCACGGTGTGGGGAAAATTCCGAGCGAGACTAAAAGTATAATACCTCTCCTTATTTTCTTAAAAAAGAATAATGCGAGAAAAGAAACATCTCAATGTCAGTTAGGCTGTTTTTGTTGTAGCTGCAAAATTTACAATTATTACTGGATTTGATCGTACACTCGTACATAAGTCTGTATGAATCTGAATAATTTGTTTAGCTTTTTGCCGCGCAAATAAATAGTTATAAAAAAAAAACCATCGAACAAACTTGAAAAGATTTTTGAAAACTTTTGGATGTAAAATGATCGGACGTAGATCGGGACTGAAAAGTATTATAACCTTTTTATGTAGTTTTGAACGTTTTAATCAAACCGTTTCTCTGAGATGAAGGAAGTATCATCCAATTGTAGTGCACATTTTTTCAGATTAAAAATTCTGTTCCTGATTTATTCTAACACGTATATTAAAATAAAGCAACATGAAGAGGAAATAAACTTGAGTACATTGCACCAACTTACCTTGTAAGCGACATATTTCCGCGATTCTGATCGCTGACACTCTTAAAACGTCACAACACCTAACAAATCTGATTCACTTTAATCACTGGCTATCGTTCCAGTAGAACGGTACTCCAACAGCGAGCTGACTGTGAGACTGATTGTGAGAGGGAGACACTGGTTCCGCCGCCACCAATCACAGTTCTTCTCCTCAATGAGACAACGAGATAAGTGACCGCTCCTTTTCTACGGGTTCAGTCGTTATCCATTTAAATGCGGAGACATGAAAAAAAAACGCCCGGAGAAACGGAAACTACTAGGACGTAAACCTGTTCAGAGAATTGAGGAATGTTTTCCCCGGTCAGTCTGATGTATTCTGTGATGACTCACTCAAAAGTTTGATTTCCCAACTGAAGAATGTTTTAAGTTCGCAGAAATGTTGTTGTTATTTGCAGACGTAAAAGACAACATCGCGCTTTAGTTGATCTGTTTTCTCATTTTATGGCAAAATTCCGTATAATTTTAAAAATGCAGTTTATGAGTTTATGAAAAGTTTTTTCCCCTTCTCTTGCCTTTTTTTCTTGCTGTTAGAAATATGATAAACATTAATTTTTGGGTCAAATTTTTGAGTTCGACTGTCATTTATAAAAAATGTAGTTTTTTTTCAAAATACTAGCCCTTGGATTTTTTTAAAAAAATTAAAAATTAAAAGTTTAAAAAATGCTACATTTTTTTTTTTTTAAAAAAAAATCCATGACTGATACCTCAAAAGAAACTGCATTTTTTAATATTTGGATAATCTATTTTTGAGTTCACAATATCTATAAATGTAAATAAAAAATGAAGGTGGAGAAACTCATACCTCGATAGCGACGTTTCTAAATTTCCACCTTTTTTCCATTGATTAAAAAGTTAAAATGTATGGAAGTTATTGCTTGACCTTCTTACATGACACTTTATATGTACAGAAGAAAGAAAGAAAAATTAAAGTAAATCTTATAAAATAATCTTCATTATCCAAACTCTGGAAAGATAATTTATGACAAAAAAGCTGAATAACATGGTCAATCGAGATATTTGTTTTCCGACTTTCATCATCAATGAATGTACTGCATTTTGCAAAAAGAATAAGAAAACATTGCCGGCTCATTTTAGAAATAGATATCAGGAATGAGCAAGGAATGATGGTCCCTGTTTGCAAAATAAATGTCATATTTAGTTCGTAAAGATTTATATTTTATACTTGCATCCTGTTTCCTAAGTCATCGAAAGGAAATTTTGACACTTTAACTCACGCTCGACAACATTTTAGAAATCTCTTTTGAGTATTAACACGAAGTTGGAGGAAGTTTCAGCAGCATGAATAAGAAAAGGCGCGGATGCAACTATACCTACTCTACGGCTGTTAAAATTGCATAAGCAAAAGATTGAAGGCACTTTACGTTTCCTTGCGCTTTCAGCAGAATGCATTGCACGTACATCACCACGCCACGCCGCGCCGCACAGTGGATCGAGCCAATTGTAAAGGTCGGACATAGGCCCAAAAATGAAAGTGAAGGAACATAATGTTTCTTGGCATTTTCTTAAAGTAGACTCTTTAGCCGAAGCCGAACATAAAATACCAAAATTACATCTGAAAAAAAATTTAAAGCTATGTATCGGACGTGTGATACACCGTGTCCACATTGAGGTGAATTTCGGGTACATTTTTAGCCTAGACGTTACTCCTATATTTTAACTATCCTGCATTTTTGTATCAAATTTTGGGGGTTGTCCTCTATTATTGATGCAATGGGGAGAGAGAAACACCCGTTGCCATATTTTTCATCCTTATTTTTAATGCTAATATCAGTGTACAGACATGGTACCCTAAAAACCCCGGTTTTCCAAATTCAGTGAACGATTTCGACATTGTTTCAGAACATTTCAAAGAAAACCGACCTAGAGGAATGTTCCTTATATCCCTAGGAACCAATATCAATTGAGAATTTTTGCCTTTTTTTGCCTTTTTAGAAGTTAGGCCTATAAATGTGATGACAACTCGCTCCTCGAAAAAACCAATATTTGAATTTTAAATGAAAAGTCCTAGTTTTTTGCATCTAGGAAGGCTGGAAGGCTCCCATTGGGTTGGTAACTTACCACCGTTTCGAATTGGCTTTCGGAATAAATTAGTCATGCCCTCCCCCCCTCTCCCTTCCAACGCCAATAATATCATCTTGCACCACAATCTTGTTCTTTCTATATCGAAAAAAAGGAGGGAACACTAAGTCAATTGATCGTAGCGCAATTTGATTTCTTTTTTGGTCAATATATGCATCAATTTTAGGGATTTGTGACTTTATAAAATTTGACTCTCCCCTCCCTTTCAGTAATTTTTATTCTTTTAAACAAATGTTACTCTCAACCTCCTACAATTCTGCAGAAATGATGCCCCTGGTTTTCATGAAAAATCGTTCGACTTGATTGTTGGTTTCAGTTTTTTACAATTCGTCGCTCTTCTAACGTGAGGGCGTATCTCTATTTCCGCATGAGCCCCAGAAAGATGATCTTATGTCTAAAACGGGGTTCACGTTGAAATTGAGATATGCCTTTACGTCAGAGAAGCGACGATTTGAGCGGTCACCATATCCTCAGATTTGCGTTTGTTCCTACTTCGCTACGATAAGCGATCAATCAGCGATACTAGCTGATAACTGAATCAAGATGATAGTACGTCTCAAAGCTGCAAGCTGCTCGAAACTGCAAATGAAGGCATCATGCATTTTTTGTTGGTCTCCTCAGATCCTAGTATTTCGAGCCTCCGACCCCAAATTACGGCGAAGAAAAAGTCAAAACTCCTTTTACCGGAAGCTCTGGATCTGCTCGTCAAGGAACAGTGCTTGGAGCACCCTGTATAAGTGGAATATTTCTGCCCCTTCAGTTTTCATTGTGAGTCATAAACTCTCTTTTTTATTTTAATTAAGTTTTGCTTTGTACCTGAACAGCTCACTTAACCGCATCGTATCCAGCTAGTAAATTTTGGAAGCGGGGGAAGGGGGGGGCATTGCTTGTTTAAAAATATTCACATTGAGTTTACAGCAAAATAAAAGAAGAAAACAAAATATTTGTAGCTCAGCAGAAACAAATAAATGAATAATTAATCGCAATTTTTTCCAATTGCTTTCGTGATATCTACTCGTGGGAGCATTTTCTATGAGGCTCTTCAAACATTTCTTGAACACAACAACATTTGAAACAAAGTGAACAAGTTGAAACATTTCAAACATTTTAGAAGTCGAACACCCTGTTGAACGATTTTTGCGTAAAATTCCAAGTAAACTTCAAGTACTTTATCAGAAGTATAGTCATCGCTTGGTATATTCAAAATATAGCTTTGTGTATGAACGTGAGCTCGATAGAATTTTAAGGAAATAGGACACTGTGCATGTAAAATTAAGAATTACAGTAAGAATAAAGAAAGATCGCCAAAATAGATTAATGAATGTTGATGCTCGAATGAAAGTTCGTAATTTTAAGTGAAAATTATATAGAAACGCCTTCCCTCCATGGAAGATTTTTATAGTTTTTAAAAGTATTATATTTTTATATTGCATACTTGATGCAATGTGTCTCTACTGCTGAAACTAGAGGAAAATTAACGGCGTAACTGCAAAAACCATGTACCTCGAGCGCGGTATTTCAAATTTGCCACGTCTATTTTATCTTTTTAAGCCATTATCACAAGAGATGTTCGCACGAAAATTAATTGCGATGGATTTTTCTTTGGATGGAGCTGAGAATTATGCAAAATTTTGTGCATTGAGTAGGATTAGTCATTCCTCTAACAGGTAAAATGAGATTGGAATTACGTGACGTCGTAAACCGAGATACTTGGTTCCATATCTTCCATGATTATACATGGTTGTCTTCAACTAATTTACACGGCAACCATAAACATGCAGTTTTTTCGCTTTGAAGGATTCTTCATATATTACTATAATAAATGATCATTCTGATCCAAATTGAAATATTTACCAAATTTTAGAAGAGGAGAAATGAAAGGTACCCCACACATAAAATTACCAAAAAAGAGTACTCAATTTATTAAAGATCGGGTGTTGAGACAAAATTAAGGTAAAATTATCCCTATTGGAGTATTTTACAGTATTTTTTTGGTACTATTACATAAATACTAAGTGGTATATAATTATTGAAAAGTTAATTTCCGAGAAAGCAAAAAAAAAAAATCTAAATGCAGTCTGTTAATGTTATATTCATCGTGGTAGCATGGGACGATTTTGGTCATGGTTCAAATACAATAATCCATCTGGGGAGTCTTTGACCAATTATAATTCAACGATTAACAGGGCGGAAACGTCAATACCATTGTCACTTAACATTTCGGAAAGTCTTAAAGGCTGTAAATAGAAATGCGAGGAAATTATTAGAAGCTGTTTGACCTGTCAATCTGTTCTAATCATAACTCGGTTCTAACAGATCCATTACATATCGTCGAAAAAGCCTTATAATAAAGGAGCAAAAACGTGATGCAACGAGACGTACTGCGAAAAACCAACGCCTCTCCCAAAACTTACTTCTCTCGAAAAACTCACCTCTTTCTCCAAACATAGCTCCCCCTCCAAACCGAGCCCGACCTCTCTCACCATACTCACCTCTCTCACCAAACTTACCTTCCTCAAAAAACTCATCTCTATCATCAAACCGAGACCGACCTCTCTCACTAAACTTAACTCTCTCATCATAATCGCCTCTCTCACCAAACTTACCTCCCTCGAAAAACTCACCTCTATCATCAAACTTATCTCTCCCACTATACCCACCCCTCTTACTAAAAACTCTTTTACCAAACTTACTTTCATCATCAAAAACCACCTCTTCGTGGTTTTCAGGAACCAAGCCCCTGCCGGGGAAGCCTCTGGGCTGCCCCCGGGAACGACTCCATCCCCAACTACACTGAGCTCCCCTGTTGCTATATGTGCCATAAAACCCCCTACCCCTTCCTCTCCCTCTTCCCCTCCAATTCCCTCTCCCCCTCCCCCTCCCGCGCCCTTGACCTTCAATTTCCGACGCTACTTTTTCCTGCGTCAGCGCAAGATCGACTGCATCTTGGAAGGTCAACCCCTCCTGTTTCATGAGAACACCCTGTGTGTCTTTGTCCCAGATCCCAGCGACGAATTGGTCCCTCAGCGATGTGTCCGGGTCGGAAAACTTGCAGTTCAAAGAACGGTTCTTTAGGCGCGTAACATACGACGTAACGGGCTCATACGGATACTGCTTTATTCTGGAGAACTTCATTCTCTCGCTGACGTTGGAAAGTTTGTTGGGGTGCACATGCACATTTCTTGACACGAGCTTCACGAGTTCGCCATAGGGGAGATCCTTCGGTTTCCTTGGGGTTGCAAGTCTCCGGATCAGTTCGTAGGCGTCGGCGTCTATTTTGGTCAGTAACTCTGGAACGCGTTTCTCGGACGGCGTATCATTGACGACGAAGTATGCATCCATCCTCTCGACAAACGTCTCCCAGTCGTTATCGGCGAGGTGGAAGTAAAGCTGGTCGGCCATCTTTGCGGTGACGTCATTCGGGTGCTCAGGATTTTTGGACGTGAATTTTTCGCGTAATGTTCAGCGCGGTTGCATGATCGTCAAGTTCTCATCCAAACCACTGATTTTGTTGAAGTTCTTGACAAGATAAGTAATTAATAATTAATTTGTGACTTTGATAACGTACTGAAGTACCGGAATAGAGATGTTGCATGTGTGAGGGGTTTGCGATTTTACTACTGATTCTTATGTAAAAGTTCGCGAGAAACATGATGGGACCAATGGTTTTCTCTGAAATCAACTCCCAAGCTCAAAAAAAGCTCTCAAGTTGAGGCCAAAATGGAGGGGATATCCCACGCTTTCCTGAGAGTCCACCTCTACATCAAGACAAACTCTCCATGCAAAGATAGAGAGCAAGGAGCAAGTACATTAGCAGGGTTGCCTTGTTTTCAGTTTTGGAGTCCCCAAATAAAGTGGCAGTCCTGTCAATGTATTTGCTCCCTATCTTTGCATGGAGATTTTTGTCTTGATGTAGAGGTGGACTCTCAGGATAGCGTGGGATATCCCCTCCATTTTGGCCTCAACTTGAGAGCTTTTTTTAAGCTTGGGAGTTGATTTCAGAGAAAACCAGTGGCGCCATCATGTTTTTCGCGAACTTTTACAAAAGAATCAACAGTCAAATCGCAAATTCCTCACACATGCAACATCTCCATTGTCTACGCGGTTCCAAGTTGACCGCGTATTAGGGCGCACTGGCACATTTCGGCGGACTTTGACTGAAACAATATCGACGGTGAAATTACCAAACCATGTATCCCGGGCATTGCAGACCTCCTGTCATACTTCATTTTTTTATGAAAAACCTGCAGTTCAACATCGTCTCTCGGAAACCTCCGTGATTCGCTTCTCTGTCTAAAGAATTTCTTGTAAAAATTCAAAGGTATGATATGGTAGGTAAAGCCAATTCATTTTAGAGACCCTCCACTGACAAACCAACCAATACAATCGGGTGAGGCAAAAAGTAAGCTCAGAGGTCAACGCTGCACAGTGGATCGAATCAGTGGAGAGGTTGGACATGAATTTTGTGACCAAAACTGCAAATTTAGTTGTTAAATTCGTCACATTTTAAATTTTAAGACGTGCTAATAAAAGAAAACACGAGGAAACCAATTGAACCACTTTTAAGACCTCAAAGTTTTATATGAACGGAGTTATAAGCTTTCAAAGTTTCAAGATTTTGTCCGACCTCTCTCATTGACTCGATCCACTTTGCGCTGTTTTTTGTCTAATGATTGATGGGCAACCTGTTGAACATACAGATCAAATTAAATTCACTCAATGATGACTGATAAGCTTCAGGGCAAGCACTCCGCTGGGCGAGTTTTTGCAAATAGGGTTAGGTTTGCGAAACCGATTGCTTAACTCTTGTTCATCAGTCAGCATTAGACGAATCTGAGTGCTGACTTCCCTCGGTGATTTGTAGACTAAGAAGATAACAGTGTGGAGTCTCTAGATGTATCGGTGCTGTTCTTTTACCATTAAATATATAAACAAGAAGAGGAGATTTTGAAACGCCAAAATCGAGGTGCTTGGTATAGGCATTTCACCGTCGATGTATGTGGCCGTCCACAAAAAAAAGACTCTAACCATATGAGCTACATTTTGCAAGTAGGAAATAGAATTCCTGGCTCACCCATGAAGACACTTGTGTGCGTAAGGAAACCAATAGTATATACGTTGTTTGTAAACTGAGCTAGAGATTGTAGTTCCTGATCGCAAAATGCAGTCCATATGCTTAAAATGGAATATTACGAGAAAATTAAGAGGCACCTCTAACTTTTGATCAGCATAAAACGCGAGCAAAAAATCACTTCCCGTATTAACCAAACTTTTGTATTGAAATTTCTCTCCGTGATGGGGAAAACACGAGACAGATTCCCATCTAGACTCAAAATCCAATAAACACTTCACTGAAAAATTCAACAGCTACTAGGGTAAAGCACTTACGGATGAACTGGTTAAAATTATTGATGTTTCGGAACTAGCTATCGGAACGAGCAAATTTTAACTTTCGACTAACCACAAGCACAGCACAGTTTGTTGTTGGGAGACCGAAGAACCATGATATACTCAGACATTACGGGCTCAAAGCGCTCAAAAATAACAATGCTCGAGAGCTCGAATGATTGCAGGGCTGTAACGAGTAGCTGAAATTTAGTAATTTCCCTCAATTTTCCACATGGAAATGAAACATTCTTGCCACATTTGGCAATACCGGTAGGCCGTAAAAAATATCTAGACGGTCAACGCTGCATACAAGGAGGCTGCATGTCGCTTCGAAGTGGTCATAAAAATTGAAAACAAATCATTCGTCGCACCTGGCATTTGTGCGTGCGTTTCTAGACATGAGCGAGTTTCTTTTTAGTGCCAACGATCAGTAATTCGCGCGGTTTAAATGAAGCAGACATATTTGAGGCAGCCCTTTCTCCTGAAGTCTTCTTTTAAAACTATAACACAACACTTCAGATTCCAAATTTTCATTACCATGTGAGCTGCGAGGAAAGAAATGGGAAACGACTATATAAAATGCGCCTTCAAAAGCTGAGAATGCACAATATCTGGCACCGAGATTACATGCTCCGTGCAAGGTTTTATTTCATTAATACATGTTTCATAACTGTGGGATTTGCGAATTTGTAACATAACACTCTTTGGTGTGAACAGGTGTAATACGTAGCGCACACATTACACGTGTATTCTATCTTGGTTTATTCGATTTTTTTTATGATCTTTTGATTTGACTCTAGTAAGCACTTTGAGGCTATTTCCGACTGAACTCTCTTGCAAAATTTTGAGAGCACATACCCTTGCTCCAGCATTATTATTGGTGTGACAACAAAAACTTAAAGTTAGAAAATATGATCTTGTACCCGCCTGTTGTTCCGTTATTACATCATACATCAACATGGATAAGAACGGTGGCCAGACACTTTACCAAATTGTGTTTAGTCCAATGTTTTTCTGATAAAGTTTATCCGATAGATTTTTGTGCAATACTGCGTGAACCAATAGTTTACTCAGTCAAGTTGCAAGTAATGGTATAGGTGCTGAGATTTCGCTAAATAATAGAATGTAATCCTTAGATGCCCTAGCCGGGTCTAACCTACCCAAGGATCTCTGAAAGCACGCACCCCGCGGTTTTTATGGGCCCCGCAAATCCGGAAAGATGTATGACTAAAAATACATCCTTAAAAAAGAATAAGACATAAAATTGAAAAAGAAGAGGGGAAAAATCAAACATCAACACAGCCGAAGATAGGAGAGAAGTTTTTGGGTCTGGTTTTTTGAAACTTTTCTCCCGAACCAAAGCGACAGTTCATTTGGCAGTCTAGAGAGCGAGACATCGCGAGCTCACACCTCACGCCATAGCGCCTTCAATTTTGCAGATACAACACGGACATCCATCAAGCACGAATAGTTGGATTGCATTTTGCAAATAGGAACCACTAGCATTGCAATGTTGCTAAGATTATGCAACTTCTTTTGTCTTGGAGGAAAAACCCGATTATCCATCAATAGTAGTTTTACTCGTTAAAAACTGTAAATTTAAGACAAAAATTACCACCTAAATTTCATAGTTTTTCACGATTTCTGCAATTTTATTGCAAAAGATGAAGTTGCACAATCTTAGCATCATTGCAATGCTAGTGGTTCCTTTTTGCAAAATGCAATCCAGTTGCACCTCTGCGCCGTCATCAGCGCGTGTCCTTTTCCTTGCTCCATTTCCATGTTGCGTTGGTTCCATTTGTCTTATTTGTAGGGGTGCTTCAAGAGCTTATTTTATTCCAAGAGCTACGTTAGCAAAACAGCCGAAGATAAGAGATGTGATCGGGCCTTGTTTTCCACCTTTTCTCCCAAATCTAAGCGACACCTCATTGACAGCGTAGAGCGGAGCATTGCGAGTTCACGCCTCGCGCCATCGCGCCTTCAATTTTGCAGATACAACACGGACATCCATCAAGCACGAATAGTCGTATCTCTGCGCCGTCATCAAAGCGAGTCCTTTCTTTCACTCTATTTCCATTTTGTGTTGGCTCCGTTTGTCTTATTTGTAGCGGTGCTTAAAGGGCTACGTGAGCATCGCAGCCAAAGTATAACTTGGATTAAATTGGTTGGCCAAACTAGGTATCGGGTCAAAAAAATTAGACAAAGTGTCTAGCTACCACAACAATTAATAATGTGATAGCAGGATGACCTTAACTGCAAATAATGTTAAAAACTTTCACTATTTAAGGGGCTTGGAGGACAAGGCGTATAGGTGCAGTTCTTACTATTTCGAGAAATACGTGTTTGAAGTTTTGAAATTACATAGATCCATATGACGGAAAGAAAGTTCAAACTAACTTTTTGATTTTAAAAAATTTAAATTTGGGAGCGAATTTTTCACAGAGTATATTTTAAGACTAGTTTCGGTTGAAATAATTAATATCTCAATTATTCTCAAAAACTGCATTTATGCGTCTTGTCTGCCAAGCTCCTTTATTGCCCTTCACTCTCCTTTTAGCTAATCACTAAGGTCATTCCTAGAATTTTGTGGTTCACATTATGCTATCAAGTATGCCACCGACACATTGCGACTACTTATACTGTACGAATTTCTAGACTAACTAAGTTTTTCACCTGTCATAGTGGTCGAAAGATTTAAAAAAAAAACTACGATTTTCCCTACAATTTGGGCGCAGTAGCTTCGACGGGGGGCACTGGTTGGGGAAGAAACTCCATGAGAAAAACAGTATTAACTTGACCCATAGGATATGCTTCAGCATATACTTTTTTAGTAAAACAAGGGCATTATGTCAGTGGTATACTTATTAACATCCTATAGGGCAAAAAATATAGCAAATAGGTCAAGGACCTTAGATATGAATTGATAGAAAAGTAAGGGTTGAAGAACCAACGGGTTGTGCCATGAAAAAAAGAAGCCCAAGATCTATTATGCGAAGTGAGTGAACTTTCAAGGTAATGTTATAAAACCTCCGTGCTAAGGAAAAACGCCGTATAAACCTTCAGGCGTTGCCAAATTTCTTTTGATAAATCACGAATTTTCGGGAACATTTATAAATACTTTTTTCGTCCAATTTTTCAGGTAATTTTTTTCGCAATTTTACCTAAATTTCAAGGAAAAATATTCATAAATTTACTCAAAAATAAACATTTTATCGGGAGAAATTTGGCAACTCTCAAATGTTCATACGGCATTTTTCCTCAGCACGGCAGAACAGGTTACTGCTTCACAATGCCTGGGTCTTTAAGAGAGGAAAAAATACTTTCTGAAACTTTTATAACTAGATGATTTGAAGGGATTTCAAAAACTGCAAAGAGGCTGGCTGATGGCGAGAAAACACATTTTTATTACAGAAAATTCCTAACACAAAGTGACTGGAATATTTGTTAAAATCGTTGTCAAAACAAGGTCTAATTCAAAACTCTCTTGTTGCATCAGTTACATTAAGAAGTAGAAGGTAGATCGATACTTCGCTACTGTAAAATTTCCTCGCATTTAAAGAATTTTTTACAAAATCTGTACAATATATATCTGTCATTTACAATTCGTTATCTAAAGTTACTTAACCATAAAACACGGGAAAATATCACTCGAAAAAGAAACATCAAGTCTATTTTGTTTTAAATAAATAAGGTTATCAAATAGAAAGTTTGATCGAATCGGAGAGCAGTAGGTACTTCAAATTTCGGCTGACTTGAAAAGGAGAATTTTATTCGCATACTTAGATGTCGCTCCGTAGGCGTAAATAAAGGTGATCAATACTGTCCACCAAAATGTAAAGCCTACTGAATTGTGATGTTTAATTGCCTCCGACTGGAAGAATATTTACAAAAAATTAAAGGGGGGGGGATTTGATGGAGCCACTTCAGATCATTCCGTAATGAGCCTTTTTTTTAAAAAAAACTTCGCGCAAGACTTCAAATACTTATGGTTATTGTAATCGGAAATATGAATTGGATTTATGAAACATGAATCGCATAACGAGTCTAGAATAGTGTATTTTACAAACACTGGATCTTGCGTGTTAGATGATTCTTTGCAAGCATGATTCAAACCTCCTTGCGTCCATTTCATATTCTTTTACGGCACGGGGTAACGAGTAAACTTTTAAAAGTTGGGTGAATCGGAAGGATTTCAAATGAACTGAAAATGGCTCTATGTAAACGCTGCTTGGAATATCTGATCGGATCGAAGAAAACTAGAATAAAATAAATAATAATAAAAAGAAGAGAGATTAAAGAGGAAAGTCTTATAAAATTGAGCATTAATAAACAGAGAACTTATCGTAAATTGATGATTAAAATTAAAAATTTACAAAAGTATGTACACATTTCTGATGCATAGAAAAAACTGCGGTATATTCACAACCTAAGGGTTTGACAAAGGTTGCCGTTTTTTTAGAACTCTTCGTGCAGCGGGAACAGCTTGCTTGTGGCGTTCGAGAGGTCGAAACTAATACGTATTTTAATGGCAATTCCCTCTCTCTAATTTTCATCTCGAATTTTGGGCGGAGATTACCTCATCATCACTGTAATATCGTACAGTGATGATAAATTACGCGTTCATTGTATTTTGGAGAGGACTCGTAAAATTCCAAGCCTTGCAAGATGAAAATCTCATCAGCGCAATTTTACTCATTTTTCATTATACTTATGTGCTTCATTGCAATTAAGTTTAAACTCCTAGTAACTGCACCGTATATAACATTGCTGTGTCCTCAGCTGCCACGGAAGGGTTCTATTGATGCTTGTTTTAAAATACATCACACCATACGAACAGAACAATCCTGCCCAAATTAAGTATCTCTTTTCCAGTGTGAAAACGAGTCCCGCAAATTATAAATCAAAGCAATGACATTCAGTTTTTAAAAAAAGCATCTTTGAACATACTTGAACAGCACCATTAGATCTTACATTTTGTGGATATTTTATCGAAGGTCAACTTATTTAGAAATATATGGTACATTAAGAGTCGAAAATGAAATTCAAAGAAGACAATTGGACGATATGGTAAACACGCAATGCACAAAATCAGTCAAATATTGTGTCCAAACAAGCGATTGACTTTTGTTCTTTCTTTTGTTGATGTACATATCACATCCTTCGTCAAGTTAATGGAGATTGTTGTCATTAATTAAAATTATAAAACACCTAGATGGATAGATGCTACGGCTTAATTGGTCACTGATTCTTTATATTTTTATTTTTTATTTTATTTTGTTTTGTTTTTGCATATACCTTGTTTACTTTAGAAATGTATTTCATCCATGTTTATTTAGGAATGTATTTCGATACTCGTATTGTTTTGAGGGAGTCTTCTCTTGATTGCAGTTCAAATTCACAAAGTACGAGGAAAAATATCACATGATGCATTTGCTCCTAAGTCGCACAATAAAAACACCGAAAAAAGATAATAATAATTCTCACAAAAAGCCTGATAAGAATCTATAGCATGATGTAAAATTGATGGATATTCACTTCATCTGACGGTTCTCGAAGGTATAGTTTAAGTTTACGAAGCATTTTGTACGATTCATCCTGCCTCAACGATTTCAGGCTTTCTTAATTTACTTATCAGATAATTCTGTACAACGAATATAAGATTTTATCTTGACTTTAGTTTTAGTCTCGAGTTCAAAGTCAACATTATTTGAAGAGCTCAATAACATGATCGATTTCCTTTTAAAACAAATTGCTGAATCCAAGCAGCTTTCACGGGTTTACGAAAAACTCGGTTAAAATTTACAGAGAATTATAAAAATTACTAAATTTAAAAAAATCGACCACGACCTGCGGGACTTGCAATAATATTTTGGTGATTTTAACAATTCCTGTTTGGTTCTTATCGAAACGGAAAATGTGTGAGAATTACGACTTTCTTTTTGAGGATGATGTTGCGAGAGTTAGCCAAAGGCGCGGTTTAAGCCTCTGGTTTTCGTGAGGGTTCGTTGATTTTGCGGTATGATGGCGTCTAGTAGTTGTAAGGTCCGTATTGTGAACCATGGTAGTATGGGCCAGGGTAGGCGGCAGGGGCCGGATAGCCAGCATAAGCGTATTGTTGCTTCTGCGGGTAAACTGAAAACACAAGAGGTACGGTTTGATTATAGCAGTTGGAAGGGCAAACAATTGAATCAGTGGGTTCGAATACCCACCTAATCGGAAAAAAATTGTTCAGGAAACACCTAAAACCGCGCAGCGGGCGAAGAAGTTAGTTTAAGAAAAACATTTTTGATGCCAAAGGACAAGTACTTAGAGACTTTGAGAAGCACCAAGTTGAAATCGATACACCATGTTTGATGACAAAGAATTAAGCGTTTAAGAATTTCCGAGTTGGTGTGTTTTCGTTCTCACCAACTTTCAGATACTGATTTTTCGTAATCTGCCCTGAAAAATTTATATGTTTGTAACCTGAATAACGCTTGAATATTTATATAACTTGATGGTGCAAGGTATACTGAGCTGAAAAAAGAAAACCGCAAAATCAGATGGTCACCCGTTTCCCTTGAAATGGCCGAAAATTGGTATTTCCAATGAAATACTTCGATTTTCCCCTTTTCCCGTCGCTGTTTTGAGCACTTCCGATTGCAATTTTGAAATTTCCTTTTGCGTGCAGATGCTTCTATCCATATGTGTCACTAAACCGTATAAAAGTGAAAATACTCGTAGAAAAAAACCCGAGTTGGTGTGTTTTCGAACTCGCTGATTCAATTCAAAATACGAGTACACGTAGAGGCAAATGCATTAAAATGTACGGAAAGGCTAACAAATTGAAATTTTCTGGCCATGGATCGCAGCGATGGAGAATTTGCAGGTGTCTGAAACTGTGTGAAGTTCATACTTAGGAAGAAGAAACTACCGAGGGAACTGAACATGGAAACAGCCTTCATTTCTAAAATGAACAATCATTGGAGGAAATATGACCAAATTACCACTAAAATCTGCTGAAATACATGTTTTAAAATGGATAATGCCGCTTTATGACGTCTCGAGGTGGCAGATTTTCCAATTTTTTAAATTTGTTTTTCTACTATCTCCCGAATCAGAAAAAATTACGAAAAAAACTGTGCACATAGCTCGTTTGGCACTCTCAGATGCAGTCATAAAAAATGTCTCGCTAATTCTCCATTTTGCTGGTTCCATAGCAGAATCGTATTTGATGATTTCAGGTTATAGATAAGCGAAAAGCTATATGATTTGTCCAAAAATCAAAGCCAGGGTGTTGAAGTAATGACACTGAGAAGTAAACTTAGCTCATAGAAACTTTATCAAGCACTTAGAATTTTAGTGGCAAAAAAGGCCGTATGGATGCCCGTCTTTTCAGTAAGAAAAGCCCCTTCAATTAGTCGGACAGGCAGCAAACACAACTCCGCACAATGCATCGATTCAATAGGAGGGGCCGGACAAAATTTGGAAACTTAAATCGCTTATAACTTCGTTTAAACAAAACTTTGAGGTTCTGAAAGTGCTCCCATTGATTTTCTTGTGAAATTTACTTCTAGGAACACCCCTAAAAGTTAAACATTTGACGAAATAAACATCCAAATTGGGAGTTTTAGTCAAAAATTTCATGTCCGACCTCTCTAATTGACTCGAACCACTGTGCTCCGATGCGGCAGCAACGATAGTGGTTCGATGCATAGTTTGGTTCAAAACAAGAGAATATAACCTCAGACAAAAATTGTAGGATTTAAGTTAAAAAAACTGAAAATGAGAAGCTTCCTAACAATTTCACTTTTCATTGGCAATTTGAAGGACTTGGAGGACAAGGCGCATAAATGCAGTTTTTGCTATTTCGAGAAATACGTGCTTGAAGTTTCGAAATTACATGGATCCTAATGGCGGAAAAAAACTTCAAACTAACTTTTTAATGCGTAAAAATTGGTAATTGGGAGCAAATTTTTCACATTTGCATTAAGGCTAGTTTTACTTGAAATCATTAATATCTCAACATTTTCAAAAACTGCACTTATGCGCCTTGTCCTCTGAGCCCCTCGTTTGTACTCGTAAGGATCAAAAACCTATCGCAAAGGACCCATTCCCTCAGATTTCTAAATTGAATCAGTGAGATCGAAAACACACCAACTCGGTAACTCGACAATGCGCAACTTTCATATTAAAGACGGTCAAATTTCATAAAGGTTATTGAAGTCAGCGCCTCTGTTCCAACTTGGACATTTAAAATGTCCGTAAGTGCTAGTCCTTCGGCACCAAAAATATTTTTCTTAGACTAATTTCTTCATCTACTGAGCAGTTTTGTGTGTGTCTTGACTATTTTCATTTTTCCGAGTTGGTGTGTTTTCATTTTTACTGATTCAATTGACTTTTGAGGCTATGGTTACATGTTGAACCAATCGATATCGATACAATCTCACGTGTTTTACCATGTAATCGCAATAAGAATAAGGCTCACCTGGCATCAAATACTGCATGTTAAGAGCTTCTTCTCGTTCCCGTTCGCCTCGCAAACAAATGGCTGCTCCCGAGAATAAAATCGCAGATACTAAAGAGAAACCAACTCCAGTCCACGCCATGTAGAACGACCAATCGTACCATGATTTCGTGTGTGTTTTCAACTCCTGCAAACATTTAAAGTTGCAATACAAAATCACGTGACAAGTTTAAAAATTCCTTTAAAGAGTATCATTACTGTGAGATCTTTAACTCCCTAAATTTTGATTTTTGTCACATTCGCTCTACTCTTTACACAGCAGGGCCCACTCGATTTATCACTGGGAAAGAAAGTCGCTTAGATCTAGAGTCCAGACTCTTTAAAACATTGACAAGAGAAAAATACTCTTCATTCAATCCAATTTTTCTTTAAATCGAAGAGCCGAGCCTCTTGATTTAAGCGGATTTCTATTTATTTCAAGCAAAAAGTCCGATTGAATCAAGAGTATTTTATTCGTTTTGGACGTACAATAAAGTGAAGTTACGAGGACTATTTGAATTGCATCTTGCGAAAAGGAACCATCAAGACCATTCCAACGTTGTTGAGATTCTACAACATTTTTTTGACCTTGCAAAAATAAACCGATCATCTGAACAAGTTTAATCTTTACACCCAATAAACTGCAAATTCAAGAGGAAAATTATCTTTGTAAATTTAATTTTTTGCATGAATTCAGTAATCTTATCGCAAAGAATGTAAGTTGCACAAAACTAGCTACACTGGAATGCTATTGGTTCCTCTTTGCAAAAGGAAATCCATTTATTGAAAAGTAAAACATGATCGGAAATTTATAGCAGTACGAATCAAGACAACGGCTGAGAAAAAGAGATAAAACGACTTTCGGTATCAATAATGAAAGTACGGCGGCTGGATTTAGAAAAGTAGACTTTTTTTCTGATGGTTAAGAGGCTAAGAAATTCTTTCACTGACGCATGATGAGGAAACTTTTCGTTTGTTACATTAATCAAACATACTTATCAAGGAAAAATGTTAATGCAGACAACGAAAGTGAATTCCGTTTCATAATTTCAGATTTTTTCCCTTATTTGCGGCCGTTTTTGCAACGCTTCTCATTACATTCTCCACTGCCTTAAGAATAAACGCCGTGCGTGAATTCAAATTTTGCCAAATTTCCTTCGATAAAATAACTTTTTTGAAGTAAATTTCTAAATATTCCGTTTTGAAATTTTTAGGGTACCAGATTCAAATTCAATGAAAATCTTACAAAACTTTGAGAAAAAAATTCTAAAAAATTCTAGAAGATGAATCTTTTACTATAGGAAATTTGGCAATGTTAGAAGAGCCTTGAGAAATTTTTTCTTCAATCGTCAGGACTGGACAGACGACGACGGTCCGAACAAAAAGCTGCTTTTGGTATAAATGAAAGTTGCATGCGTTGGACTTGGAGTGAATATTTGGAAAACAGAGAGAGGCCGGTTTTTTTTGAGCGCCTCGCAGTAAGAATAAGCTACTTACGGGACTCCATTGTTGGTAATATTCCTCTCCGACCACCCTTTCTAATTCGTAGTATTCGACACCGTGCCAGAATCCCATTGCTCCGGCGCTAAGTAAACCTGAATAACAAATAACGGAACACGAAGTTGATGAAAATCAATTACTTGAAGTTCCGCTGTGGAAAAGGGTCACTTTTCAGGGAACTGCTGCAAAAAACTATACATTTTTGTAAGTATGAATTTTTTTTTTTTTTTTTTTTTTGCTGAGCCGGTAGTCCACCTATGCGTGACTCGAACATGGAGACGTGGACACCGTTTTCTTAATAATATCATAAATACGTGAGTGCGATTTGCTTGTGATTCTCAAATATATATACAAGGTGGGAAGTGGATTATAGCAGTCGAAATACTTCCCATGCAATACTAGGTGGTATGCAAGTAATGGAACTTATTAAAATTCATTGATTCCTTGCAATATCTGAGTATGAAAGGAGTGGCTTTTAATATAGAGACTTTAACGAAGCACAAGAAAAACAACTGGATGGATTATTGTCCATTTTTATTACTCATTTCCTGGATTTCCTGGCTATCTTCCATACCCTGAAGGATCCCGGTACTTCCCGGTTTTTTAGGTCCTTGTCATCATGATATATATAGGAGTTTGTATTGTCATTATGCATTAATTGGACTGCATTTTGCAATTTGGACCTATAGATTCTAGCCCGGTTAGTTTCCCTGTGCACATAAGTGTTTTTCCAGAAGAGCCAGAATTTATAGTTCCGAATTCCAAAATGCAGTCCAATTTTTCGTAAAATGATAATGCCATCCAGTGCTCCCATTCCCCAGAACTAATTCCGAATTTCGGAACTTCCGAGATTTTTCTGAATTTTTCCCGGAAGTTTTGGAATTCCCGAATGGTTCCGGAACTTTTGAATTTTCCGGGACTTCTGACAAAATCTATAAAGAATTTCGGAACTTCTGAGATTTTCCTGAATTTTCTCCGGAAGTTTTGGAATTCCCGAATGGTTCTGGAACTTTTGCATTTTCTGGAACTTTTGCATTTTCCGGAACTTTTGACAAAATCCATAAAGAATTCCGAAACTTCTGACGGATATGGAATGGGAGAACTGTTGCCGTCCAAACCAAAGCAAAGGATGAGTACTTACATGCTAGGAGTATTAATATGGCGGTGGCGGTGATGTTGCCGGGGGACCTCCTCCAGCATCCAGCGACGCCGGTCCAGAAGGCGATGAATATGACGAAGAAGGCCACGCCGAACAATACGATGGTGGATCTGCCCATATCTAGCGAACAAAGCGAGACAAAACAATCAGACCGCTGGCCACCACTCGAGGAACGGTTATTCGCTGCTCCTGACGCGACACGCAACCCGAAATAATCAATTTTCGACCGTCCTCCCCGGGTCACAGCCCAGAGATCTGCCGGCCAATGCTGCCTTGCTGAGGAAGAACGCCGTATGAACATTCGAGAGTTGCCAAATTTCCTTCGATAAAATGCTTATTTTTGAGGAAAGTTATGAATATTTTTCCTTTGAACTTTCAGAATCTTTAGGTGAAATTGCGAACAAAATTTCCTGAAAAATTGGAAGAAAAATATTCATGAATTTACCAGGGTATTCGTGTTTTATCGAAGGAAATTTGGCGACGCCTGATGGCTCATACGGCGTTTTTCCTTAGCACGGCAGAATGCTTCTTGCTTGCTCCGAATATTCATGAATTTTCGTCGCTCCTCTGAGAAAAGGGCGTATCTCTATTTCCACGTGAGCCCTGTGCTCCATATAACTTTATGCTTTCCGCGGCTCATATGGAAACAAGGATACGTCAGAGGTGTGACGATTGAACTGGCAGACTCTACTCTACGCCGCACAGTGGATCGAGTCAATAGGAGAGGTCGGACAAAATGTGGAAACTTTAAACGCTCGTAACTCCGCTTATACAAAGTTTGAAGTTCCGAAAGTGGCTTCATTGGTTTTCTCGTGAAATTTTCCTCTGAAAGCACCCCTTAAAATTAAAAGTGTAACGAAATAAACATCAAAATTGTCTGTTTCCGTAAACAATTTCATGTCCGACCTCTCTGATTGACTCGATCCACTGTGCGCCGGCGAGGATTCGGGTATATCTTCGGGAGATGTTGCGTCCTTGTCAGAAGACATGTAGTCAATTTTCTCACCTCTTAAGACTAATCTAAACGGGAAGGTTGCTTGTAAGAGATACAGGCAACTGCGTAAACTTTTCTTGCGTGAAAAGCGCACAAAAATTGCGGCTGCAGGTTCTAGACATGAAGCCAATAAACCACCAGAAGAAAAAACAATCGCACAAAAATTAAGTTTTGAATTGAGCAACATTCCACTCCATTAGGTATGATTTTCGAGGTCTGTATCAAGCATATCAAATTCACCTCAAAAAAAGGTAGTTGTTTTTAGACGCCGGCTACTAGAATTCCTCAGTGAGATACGTGAAGAGAACTTTTCTAAATAAACCACAATATCCAGAATTTTCTGGTGTGAGCGTTCAATTTATTGCAAACGTTGTTTCCTCCTCGTTTCAACGTATTGAAAAAATAAAAGCTTTAAATGAATAAAAATCAAACGTAAAAAACATTCGTAACAGTTAGCGAGATCGTTTGTAATTTAGGTTGGAAGTCCTTATGTCTCTCTTTGGGTAAACCTGATCACCCGCAAGTATCAGAGGTACTGCCCGTTTTGGCGGTAAATGTAGAAAAGCGCAAATTGTGCATTTAGGAGTGGATTTTATACGTTAATAAAGTGTTTCACTTGATATTCGTGTGATTTTTCTTTCACGTACCCAGTGCACTCAAGTGGATGCAAACATATGTGAGACAGACCCATTCGGGTCTTCCCTCTGAGAAAATGTTGCATTCTTGTCAAAAGACGCGCTGAGGGTATTCTCACCTCTAAGGAACTGTTTTTAATTAAGAGTCATTACGATATTTTAACGATCCTCGCCCGTTAAAACTTGCATATTACATCGATGATGGTGACACTTAGTGCAGTAACTAATTACTTAAATTGCCGCGAATTTATTGAATGAGAATCACTCCTCGAGAAGTTATTAGTGCTTGCCCCTAAGTAAACTCGTTTGAAACTGTTTCTTTATCAGAGACCGAAAACACGGATGTCAGAAAGGTTGTTTCGCCCCAAAAGAAAATAATATCTCTAAAGCTGTAGGTACAAATGTATGTAAATTTTACCGATCGGAACTTGCGACTAAAGCTTTGGGTTTTGCATTGCAAATCTACTGATTTGAATACAGATGTCTTAATACATCCAATTACAGATTATTATTCCTTACTCTAGGTTTCCTGCCTACACAGTACTTTAAAGATTCTAGGATTACTTTCATAATGCGGGAAGAGGAAACACCCAACTATTTTGCATACCCTTGTGATAGCATGTGGGTTTTTAACGATCATTTGAAAACTGAGGTTTTTCAGATGTTCGTCCTAGAATGTATGCTGCAGCACTGTCAGCTTTGAAATTGTGTTCACGTTTTTGTCACGCTTTCTTCTTGGTAGGACAAATTTTCAAGAATAACGAAAAAACCCAAAATGAAAGGAAATAGCGAAGAGACAAGACTAGAAGAGAGATATTGAAGAGCATTATCAACCGTAAAAAAAGTTTAAAAATTTAAATTTTTCAACACTTTTTTCCTTAAATTTACTTCTTGTAAATTTTTCACAAACCTAAATGAGTATCCCAAAAGGTATCCTAAAACGAAAATTTTTGCGATTTTCTTAGGAGTTATTTTTATTAAATGCGTACTTGTCCTTTTTTTTAATTTTTCTTTTAAAAAGCTTGAGTTTGAAAAGATGCAGCCGTTGCTACTGTGGCAAGGGTTGTTAAACATCCTCCTCCGTAACACCAACATCCTATTCTCGATCTCATACAGCCTCACCTTATTTTTCAAAGAAGAAAGTCCCAGCCTCTGAGTTTCTCATTCTGCCTTCTATCTTGTTTATCTCTCTATTTCTTTCTCGACATCCTTCGATGTGTTCATACCTGAAACTTCCCTTCGATAGCAACGTTGTGCGAAGTAATTAGTGGCGAGACTCGAAATTTCGAACCTACTCTGATATGCTAAAGAAAAACGCCACATGAACATTTGAATGTTGCCAAACTTTACCCGGTGTAATGAACATTTTTGAGGATCCCCATACATATTTGCTCCTTGAAAGTTTCAGTCAATTCAGATAAAATAGCGGATAAAATTCTCTGAAAAGTTGAAAGGAAAATATTCACAAGTTTCTCATCATGAAATCTGTATTTCATTAAAATAAAGTTGACAACAGCCAAAGGTTCATGGGCGTTTTTCCTTACTACGGAAGTACTACGAACCAAGCAACATTCAACAGAGAGGAAAAAGTTGGTCGGTGACTTACTGAGACGTGTCATTTGATCCTCGGAGAAATTTTTCGTACTATTTTCTGGATCCGGAACGTGGTAATCGATGTTCATGCAATGTGTTTCCACCGGGCTAAGGTATGTTTCCACTGTGAACAGAGAAAAAAAAAGTCAAAATTAGATCTTCATGAACTAAAAAAACAAAGAAAAACAAATAGAATATACATATCGACGGTGAAATTGCAGCAACGCGTGTACCTCGATTTGCCACGATACAGGCATTTTGATACACTTTAATTTTGAAAAGAAAATATACTCTACGTCATTTCTTGAAAACTTCTTAGCTATCCTGTCTGTGTGATGAATCATAGAGGAAAGTTTCAAACAATACCGTAGGTTTAAAGGACCACAGAGAAATATTCCGTAAAAATCTCAAAAATTGATTTTTCGACCCAACTCGAAGAATATTGTTCAACTGAAAAAATTGGATGGAAAACTCACTTTAAAGTCGTTGAACAATAATTTGCGGACTGTGTAATTGTTTAATTAGTCTGTCGCAATGCATTCAATACTGTCTCTCCCGCACCCCAATTGCCCTAATTGTAATTGCGGTATATATCAGAATTTCAATTCGAGGTGAAAGTAAATTCAAAATTCAATGTAATTAAACCGGAAGGTCTTAGCTAACGATTTGGCGGCCTCAATCAGAATAAAAATGCAGAAACTTTAAACATTAAATAAAAAAAATGGTATGATCAGGGATTATAGAAAACAATTCTAATTGTTTCATACTTAATTTGTATGCGCTTTTACTGTCATCGCAACACCGGGCACATTAACCCGACAGCAAACATCCCGCCGGCATTTCCCGGTTAAAGTCGAAGAGCGTAGAGCTAAACTGCCGCGCTAAGGAAAAAACGACGTACGAACATTCGAGAGTTGCCAAATTTTCTCCATTAAATGTTAATTTTTCAGGAGAATCATAAATACATATATCCTTTTTAAATTTTCAGAAACAAATCTAATCGTGGATAAAATTCTCTGAAAAATTGGAGGAAAAATATTCACAAATTTCCCTGAAAATTCGTAATTTATCCGAGGGAATTTGGCAACGTTTGAAGGCTCATACGTTGTTTTTCCTTACCATGGCAGTGGAGCTGCCGGGTGAAACTCCTCATTTCATACTCCATTAAAGACCATATTCACTCACACCCACACACCGTCACGCCGCGGCGTGTCAGTGGCATTAGAGAAATCCGATGCAACAGATTTCCAAGTGTTGCATGCCTTCCTATCTGCTGCACTTCCCCAGCGTTGTCGATTTTCTGGGAAAGTCCACCTATTTTAAATTAGTTCATTAGGTAGAATTCGAATTACTCGCACTGGAGTGGCAATGCGGACTTCCTCTCTTCTTGGCGGCAAAAACTGTCGATTAAACGAGCCGCTTCAAAACGAGTAAGTATCCGTTTTGCCAACGCGTCTCCATAACGCATTAAGGTCCAGGCGTGCCAAATTTATTTTCGTTCTGCTAATTTATGCCAATGAGTTCTTCCGTAGTATTATTACGTCAATTATGCTAATCATAGAATCGTGCATGACGGAAGAAAGGCTGCCGAGGAGGATGCTTGATTGGGTTCCTCCCAGGAGGAAACGAAGAGGACGCTCCGTGAGAGGGTGGTTTTAGAGGAAATGGGGGAGTGCCAACTCCCTGAAGAGCTTTGGGAGGATTGGGAACTTTAGCGGCTGGGTGTCGCATGGCGCCAAAGAGCGATGTGAAAGGGGCTTATATGTATGTATAGAATCGTGCATAAAATTGAAGCATATTGGGGTCATAATGACACAAATTCTTTTTTTACAACTTTCAAAGAACCTTAAAACTGTTTCAGCATTTTTTCTTAGCAACTTTTTTAGCATGATACATTTTTTGTCTAAAACTTAAATTCAGACTCAGGACCAGTGTGATTAGACCTAAATATTCCAAAATTCAAGGTCAATACTATAAGTGGATTTTCTAGACGGCAAAATAGATTTCTGCCATTTTGATTATGATAAATATTTGCGCATCGTGATAATTCTCATTTTAGGTGTATGCTCTGTGGATTCTAAAACTTAAATGGTAAAGTTTAGACTTATTTCTTCTTTTGGAGGGTACAGTTGGTGTGACTGGGCTCACCATTTACTGACACAAGTTCAAGACACTGTTCATCTTTCATTTGAATCCATTATGAATATCGATTCTAAGGAGGTGTCTTGCTACCATACATATCCATTGGCAATGTTGGAATTATTTAGCCTGGCAACGTAGTTTGGTTGATTGGGAAATTAGGAGGCAAGTGGATTGTAATTTGGCATTTGAGTGTCATCACTACTCTCTTCCGTGAAGCACTGCACAAAGTTGGGCATCCGTTGATGTAACTTCTTCCGATCGATATCTTCACTTCCGTCGCGGCGCCAGCCGGCACGGAGTGGCGCCTATCGCCGGGTGACGATTGCAAAAATCTGCATTCGCACTTACATCAGTTTTATTTTATCAACTCCGAGGCCCATTTTGGTACTTAAAAGTTAAAACCACTCAAAATTGATCCATCTATATAACAGCACATAGGAGTATTGTCATCGGAACCAATATACAGACTCGGACGTTGCATTGAGCACTGGTAAAAAAAATACACATTGGAGCTAGAGCCCAGACTCTTGAAGACATTGACAAGAAAAATACTCTTGATTCAATCGGATTTTTGCTTGAATCAAAACGAAATCCGCTTAAATTAAGAGGCTTGCTTCTTGATTTAAGCTAGATTCTGATTGAATCAAGAAGACTTTTTCTTGTCAATGTTTTTAAGAGTTTGGACTCTTCACGGAAGAAATTAAATTGCTGATCTAACAATTCAATTGCTAAAAAAAGTGACCGCAACGTTTCAACATAGATTTTGCAATACAAAAATACTACTTTAACCACTATTGTAAGCTAATTTAACCATTGGGGTGGTTAAAGTAGTATTTTTGTGTTGTAAAATCTACATTGAAACATTGCAGTCACTTTTTTTAGCAATTGAATTGTTAAATCAGCAATTTACTTTTTTCCGTGTAGATCCAATGTGTTTTTTTCCAGTGAGGCTCTGACTAAAAAGAGTGTGGATTTATAATCTGATGAGTATTTTCAGAGCGAAGATATTATTTTCCATACTATTATTCTATTCTAGTAGTTCTCGGATGTTGTTGCTTCATCATTTGATTATCCAAATTTGTTTCATCGATCTGGGAGAAAATCAAACATTTCTATTCGAAGCATGTCGAAAAGTCGTACCATCAAATCAAATTTTCTAAAAGATCCCAGAGTGTAAGTTTCATCCAAAAGTCCGGCAACATACGACTCATCAAAGCTACTCAGCCGCAATTTTGAAGCAGCCACGCAATGCGCAAACGTAATGCTGCGTATCCGACATACGTCACGTTACGTTATTCCACGAGCCATGCGAGTTCTCTTGCACGACTACGTTTCCCTCAAAACAGGCGTTTTCCGTTTTGTGGCTTTGACGCTACGGTTCCGTATGCGGTTACGCACTGTGGGTCGTGAGTGGAGGCATCGTTGTGGAATTGAGAAAAAAAAAAACTTTCATCTATTGAGCTCGAATCCAAGACATTTTCGCGATTATTTAAAATAGTTCTTCAGCACTGTGAAGAACAGCTCGGTGGTATCGATCAGTTGATACTTTTTGTATAGAACATTTCTCAAGAACTTCAGAACATCACATAACCCTTTTTACATCACGTATATTTACACAAAATTTGACCTGGAGAAATTTTGAGGTAGTTTTAAAAATATATCAAGAGTGAATATGGCCGCTTAAAAGGCCAAAAAATTTGCGATATGATGTCAGAAAATGATTTTGAATTAATTTTGAAAAGGTTCTCGGACAAATTTTTTGCACAAATACCTGGCCTGCCACAGTACGTGGCATGATCCTCGAAATATCTTTGAAAATTTGTTCACATTCAGAAATAATCGACTGATCTATCGACTGTCGATCGTTTTCATAAGTACTGAAGAGCCACCAAACAAGTGGATTGCATTTTGCAATAAGGAATCACTATTTCTGGCAATTTCATAAAAGCACCTTTCTGTTTAGGGAAACCAATGGCATATACGCTTTGTCTAACATGGGCCAGAAATAGTGGTTCCTTATTGCAAAATGAGGTCCAAGTAAAGTTCACTGTGCCAAAGGGAAATAAAACCTCATTTTAGTTTAAAAGGATTACATTTTGCAGGTAGGAACCACTATCTCTGGCTCTCCCATAAAATCACATACCTGCACATGGAAACCAATGGCATGTGTGTTGTTTCTTAAATGGGCCAGATATAGTGGTTCCTCATTGCAAAATGTAATCCAAATCATCTGCATGCAATGTCCGCCATTTTCCCGGATCCAAAATAGTCCAATAAAGCCTAAATTAGCTGAACCGATCAGGATGGATCCTCCAGGTGTCATGTTCTAGCTATGAAGGTGCTCCAATTTCCAGCATGCTTTGTAGGGTTTAGCAATCTGGCAGCCAGGGGGTGCCCCCCAAGCGGGATGAGGGGATGGGGGGGGGGGCTGGGGCCGCGAAACTGTAACGGTGTGGTCGCAGCTGCGAAGCCCCGAAGACGAACTGATGGAGCGCTGCCTTCGATTATCCGAGCAACTCAGCGCCGCTTGAGTAACACCGACACCGATGAACGGCCACGATCGAATCGCTTTACCATGTGCCCGACCTCAGCAGCAACGTCGAGCAGAGAAGAACGGAATTTGAACGGAGATGTTGCATGTCTGAGGAATTTGCGATTTGACTGTCGATTCTTATGTAAAAGTTCGCCAGAAACACGATGGTGCCACTGGTTTTCTCTGAAATCAATTCCCAAGCTCAAAAAAAGCTCTCAAAGTGAGGCCAAAATGGAGAGGATATCCCACCCTACCCTGAGAGTCCACCTCTAAATCAAGACAAACTCTCCATGAAAAGATAGGGAGAAAATACATTGACAGGGTTGCCACTTTATTTGGGGACTCCAAAACTGAAAACACGGCAACCCTGATAATGTATTTACTCCCTATCTTTGCATGGAGAGTTCGTCTTGATGTAGAGGTGGACTCTCCGGATAGCGTGGGATATC